TTGATGAGAAAAGATCACGAATTTAGGGATTAATTTCATCAATAATTCAATTACAAGGGATCGGATGACGATTTAATATTGTCCTATTTTTAGAATATTTTCTCATCCTATTTACTTAAGCATGTTTTCCTTTTAATTTTGGTTTCGTAGGCATGACTGTTGGAAAGATTTCAGTTTATTGATTAGATTCAAGTGCTAATTTCTTACCTTATTCGCTTTGTTAGATTATTGCTTAGTATATATCATGTGGGTTTTAACTATTATTGCAATACAATTTCGTAAGATTTAGGATTTTCACTTTAGTTTATCAATGAATTACAAACTTCATCTCGTTGTAATTGCTTTAAGTGATGGGATTCAATATATAATTCATTACTCCCTTGTCCTGCTTTTTCCTGCATCATCTCTATATTCGATTTCTTGTTATTTTCTTTTATTCTTTATAGTTATATTTGCAAAGCGAGTTAGTTTGTCCTTTTAAAATATATTCATGAGATTTTTTGACTTTGTATTCTATCTCACTTTGTGTATTTGTTTGTGTGTTATGCTGACCACCTATCGTGAGATTATCTGCCAGTGGTCCTTGAATTGTTGATGGTATCTTGGAAATTCTCACCTTCACCTGTCTTAAACCTTTTCATTCTTTGTTGCTTGAGAAGGAGCTATTTATTCGAAGTGTCAGTAATGTTTGTTTATTAGAGTATATTTCGTTATGTTGTTGTCAGTAAATGCAGTTGACTCCGAGGAACAGAGAGAGGTAAAATACGAGGTGAACATTTTGAGCATACTCAAATCAGCTTCATTTTCTTTTCTTATTTGTAATTTTTATTTTTACGGTACACTTTGAGCGAAAAGGGAATATACGGAAAGATTGATGAAAAAATTTTTTCAGTTACAAACTAACGCTCTGATTTTAATTGATTCAATGATGGCTTTATTAGCAATTAGAAATAGGCTATTAAAATACTATTCCTTACATATATTTGAATATAAAATATTCAGAGAGTCGACAGTAGCAGTAGCATTGGCAGATGTGATGATGTACGATGACGCTACGAAGCAGTGGCTTTCACCTGACGGATCTAGTGAAGCAGCCCGATCACAAGTCCGAATATTACATAATGTTCATACCAACGCATTTCGTATTGTCGGTACTCGTTTGCAGGTAGGTTTCGTCTCATTCCATAATTTTATCGATTTAATCAGTGTATAACTGAAGTTGTTATGAACTCGTTTCTATAGATTTTAATGGTTCTATTTATGGTTCCTTATTATAAACTATAAGAAACTTTTACATTGCAATGGTCTGCTATAATAAATATAACTATAATTGAAATTATTGGAATGTTTCAGGATGGGCATTGGATTCTTAATTGCAATATTTACGAGAGATTGAGATACAAGCCAGCAACGCCAACATTTCATCAGTGGAGGGATGAAAAAAGAAAAGTAATTTTTTATATATTATTATTTCAGAAGCCATGAATTTGTTTTGTATATTGACTCGTTATAATTTTTTGTAAATAAGCAATGATAATCAGTGCGCAACTTATTTCAACAGTTATGTTAGGGATAAAATAATATTTGTTCCAGGTTTATGGCCTAAGTTTTATGAAAGAAGAAGATGCTCATCTTTTCGTAAAAGTTATGACACAAGCGTTGTCACTATTAGCGTCAAGTAGCGATTATCAGAATGGTAAGATTTTCCGATTCATTTTATTTATGTTTTTGATCACTGCCTAAAGCGATATTCCGAGAGTTTGCCTTTTATATTCAATATTAGGACATATGACACTTTATCTCTTCAAGGATGAGAATACACAGTTTTCGAATACAAGTTGCTTATTCTTTAGCATATGTGGCAAACTTTTTGAAAGTCAACAACTACTAATTCTTCAAAGCATTTTTTCTCTTTCTTCAATATTTCTCGTTTATTAAAATTGCCTTAGATCAATTTCCCAATTCATTTTTCAGTTCATATAATATATTTGTGGTTTGTAGTAGTAGTTGTCGGATAATTTTATACGTAAACAGTGATTTGGGTTTTTTTTTCAGGCAGTGATTTAGGTTTTTCGAATACTATCTATCAAGAACCGCATCAATTACATCACAATGCATATAGTTCACCATCATTTCGGGGTACTGATGATGAAAGTTTGTATTCTGGTGGTGGTTCGCCAGCGCAAAATGTGAACAACTTCCGGTTAATTTTTTTCTTTCAAGCCCTAATTGAATCTGAAACAAAGTTAAGAATAGTAAGAACTTGATAAATTCCGAGTTCAGAGGGAGATTTTAGGGTATTTTTCTAAAACATTAAGTTTTTATATATACTTATAGAAATGGATTTCGATTGAAATTTAGAATTTGTATTCGAAAAGCTAATGTGGTTAATTTTTGAAGAGAATTTGAATGATATCAATACTCTTTGTTTGGAATCGATTAAACTTAATAGATTTTTGCTTTCTTTGAAACAGTTCTTATCTCTTTATATATTTTTATTACATTTATTAAACTATGATAATTTTTATGTAGTGTTTGGTCGAAAATGGATTTCAGTCGGTCTAAGTACGATATGTCATAATGCTCAGAATTGGTTGAGTGAATAACTTTGTATTAAATGCCAGTTTTGGTGATACCGTGTGTTTTGGATTTCTTAGTTTTTAAATTTAGTAGAATGCATAATCTAAAATTGATAAAATGAGATTTATATTATTTTGAATTTTCTGAAGTTTTAATTACTCTGTACACTTTATTATTGTAGGCTTTCAAGTAGTTTTCTCAAAATTAATTTTTAAACTGATTGGAAGAGTAACATTTGACATTTATTTAAGGTTTCATTAAAAACGCTGTAGGGCTTGTCTAAAAATATGAAAGTATGTGGAGTGGGTAGAGGGAATCATGTTTTGTTTGGTAGTGGCAAAATTCACTCATCTTCCGAAAGCTATAACATTAAAGCTTGACATCCACAAATATTCTCAGAGATTCATTATTCTTTATTACTTATTACCGCAATGTTATAGCTTTCACTTGTATTGTTTTTGCATGGCTAACATTTCATTTTATTCGAAGAATGACCAAGTGCTTGTCTCGATAAGTCATTTTGCTAACCGCAGAATTTTTGTCTTTCCTGTGAACAGTGTAAATTTTATAAAATTTAGGCTTTTATTCGCTAAGGTAAGAAGGAGCAGGTGTTAACTGAAGGCAGTTCAGGAGTTTTCTATTGAATCGGTCGATCTTTTTAGTGCCTGCTTCTTTATGAAAATGGTCTAATTATGCTCATAACGAATAATGAAGCTAAGAGAGGGAGATTATCATCTTTATTTAACTGGGAGTTAACAAGAAGAAGACAAAAAATTGACTGTATTAATTGTAGAAAATCGTCACAATCAGTGCAAAGCTCAACCAGTGGTATTGGAACTGCAACAACGATGATGGTGTATAATGTACAACGGCGTGCTTCACAAGGTTCATCCAGTTCCTCCAATGGTTCCTCACTACCTCCTGCAATTTATGCAACAACCTCTGCTAATAATAATTGTCCTGCCAGCAGTTCTGTTCGACCTGCCCCACCTACACCTCTTGCAAGCAACTATAATTCCACACCGTCACTTTCCATTAGTTCTACCAATGTTGGTAAGTTTATTTTCCTGAATTTCTGAGAAATTGACTTGCGTGTTTTAAACTTATTTCATTCATTTCTAACTTTCCTCTTTCTTACAGCAACAGTTTCCTCAAATGCACCACCAGCACCACCACCGCCACCACCGCCATCTTCTCTATCATTGGGCAAAGGATGCAGCTCTATTGCAGATCAGTTGAAAAAAGTACAACTCCGGAAAGTCAGTGCACCGCCATCGTCGAATTCAACAGCCTCCGGTACTTCACTATTTAAACTTGAAATTTAATTCAAAATTTTTTAATTTTACGACGCAGTTTAAATATTCCTTGTGTAGTAGTGGTCAGATCTTTCTCACATTACAGTTTTGACTGTTTTGTGTAGTTCAACATCTCACTATATCGATATCTATATCTGCAATTATGTTCTGTCATTTGAAATTTTTACCTTATGGAAGGACAACTTGAAAAAGCGAAATTATCCTTTTAATAGTTTATAAATAAATATGCCTTATTATATTTGTTCTTTTTTAAATTTTTATAAATTTTTTTACGACGGTGAGTGCACTTTTTAGGCGGCAGTAATTTATTATCGGAGCTGGAAGCAACTCTCATCAAACGCAAAAATCAATGTGATAACAGTGATTCTCGCTCTATCGGTTCGTATTTTCACGTAAGAGTGAAAAAAATAGTGTCTTATATAATTCTTTGGCGAGAAAATGAAACAGAATGTGTCACAACTGATTCATTTAAGGAAGTGATACGGCATTCTCAACAAATGCCGTCGGCAATGGGACCTTACGTCGCCCGTGGGAGAAGCAAATTAATGGCAATGCAAACATTGATTCTCCAAAAATAGATCGCAAGTAAGCAGTTGTCTAGCTATATATTTTTAGGGTAAAGAAAGACAGAAATAGAAAATCGATTTGTGAAATTCCGAAGGTCATGGGGGGAAATATTTTGATCTTGATGTTTTGTGCGTTTTAGCATTACGAAGTGCTCAAAAAAGCAGATTGTTTAAAAAAGCTAGATGTAAAGAAATTCTGAACACAATCGTTTGTGTTGGTATTTATTAATTTCAGAAGACTTAGGATGCCAAACTATTAAAATTGTGCTCAGTATAGCGTATAAAGATTTCATTCGGATATTTTCGTTATTCTTATTAAAAAAAAAGATTAAACACTAAGCACAATCAACCAGGCTTCTTTGTTTTATATTATCTCTTGCTTTTAGTCCCAATCTTTCACATGAGCATGGTATCTTTTTAAATGCTTCTGAGATTTCCTTTGAATGATTTTTTCATGATTTTTTGAATGGCGCTTAACATACTGCGACATGTTTGTATCTTTCATCTCAAACATGTTTGATTCACTTGGTTTTCAGATTACCAAGCTCGAATTCGTTGAATCAAGAGGATTCACGAATTGGAGGCCATCATGGTGCTGCTATAACAATGGAAACTCTAGAGAAATGGAAGGAAGAAATTTTAAGTGAACTAAGACAAGAATTAAATAAAACAAAAAATGAAATTATCGATGCTTTACGCTCCGAATTATGTTTGCAGAGACGGTAAAAATTGTGCTCTTTCATTTTTCTTTCTCTCCCTGTCTGTGTTAAAATAGAGTTTTGATGATACATATTTTACTTTGTTTACTTTTATTGCACATTGATTTATTGTGAATTCAATATTGTCATTATTTCTCTCCAATATATTTTTACTTTTATTTTATGTAATTTCTGAAAATGAAAATGATAGGAGAAATGTCAGCTAGTAATACATTTTCACTCCTCTATAATATGCATTCCAGATAGCTATAGACTTTTATTTCTTCCTTTAATTTTTATATTATTAAAAACAAAGAAAGCATTATTAAGTGATATTAGAATGGAACCTGCCTTAAGTTAACACATGAGAAGAGTATTGTTTAATCTGATGAATACTAAAGAATGAAAAAAGTTATTTTCATCTGGTCATATTTGATTTCTGAACTTTTCTTTCAGTGAATTCTGTTAATTTAGAAAGCAAGAAAGCTCTCTTCGTATCACTCTTTCACTCCCTGCTTGTAAATCTCTCTTATTTCCTCATAACTTCTGCTTTGTATGCGAATGTCGGTTAATCATTTCGTTAGGGTCATCTTTCATTCCCTGCTTGTTGAAAAAAATGCTGAGAGTTTAAGTACAAGGTATTGCTTTTATTGGCAGTTCACATCTCGCCCGTTATCGTATTCTTTTCATTAAAAATTCTGAATTACGGTCATCCACTGTCCTTTTTACTGATTTCCACTTCATTTGTTCAAATAAGCTTAAGTGTTTAATGCATGTAGTTATCTTAAAGGATTTTTCTATTACATCATGGAAGTATTGAAACTGGAATATTTTGTGCTTTATGACATTATTTTAGGCCAGTATAAAATTTTGAAATTGTTAAAGTAACGAAAGGAAACTTTTCGGCTGAACAATCCATTTAAGTCCTTAAATCACTGCTAAATGAATAAATGAGGCATATCCAAATTTTACATTAGAAATATAATTTTATGCGAGGAGTTTATGAATTTATACGAAATTTATGTAAACTAGCTTGGTAATTGATTAAGTTTAATTTGAATAATGAGATGCGAATAATCCTGTCAATAATTTACCGTCCTTTTTGGAGGTTTATTGTCAATTTTTGCAATCATTTTAAGTTTTCTATTTAATATTGATGATCAATCAGTGTGTTTGAGCTTCCTCTTTTAATGTTGCCTTTTTTATTTGTCATGAAAACTGCGCTGTTTATTCAAGTAATATCACTAATGCATTTCATTAGAAGATCCACTCTCAAAAGTGTTTTTTTCAATAATTGCTTGTAACATTGTGTTTTTTAATGATTGCAACATTTCTTTTTATGTATGCGTACGGTTCGAGATTCGTAAGGATTCAAAATCCGGAATTCTTCATGACAGATTCAGGAATGTAAAGTGCATAAAGGAAGACGATTATTTAATTGCATTCAAACTTCTAAAGTTTTCTATCAATGGATTGTGAAAGGGGATGTTAAAGATTTGGTAAAGGTTTATTAATCACAAAACTCCAACGAATAATCTAAATATGAGTAAAGTATATGATCATCTTGTGTTTATTTTCTCATGTAACATGTCTCAAGAATTTTATCCTGCAATAATTGAGTGTAAAAAAATGTCAATTTATGCACTTTTATTTATCAAATGCTGTTTAATGTTATCAGTCAACTAAAGTTTCTCCATAAATTTCCTTGTCGTTACTTCCAAACTGTTAATTTTGTAGAATTAAAAAAAAAACTGTTTTAGTCTGTAAAACTTTTGTGTATTAATCGTTGCAAAATGATAACATCAACAACGATAGGTAGGTATTTCACATATAAATAGCAAGGTTGTTTATTTGATGATGATTTGTAGCATAACATAAATATCGATCATAACATTGGCATCGTGCCATTCTTGAAACAGAAATTGTTGTCGGTAAAATTATTTAAATCTTCAAGTTTATCAGTCAAGAATGCAATTTTCTATCATAGCACTGTGTAATCCAGTTGTAAAGATAGAAATCATTTCTTTCTTCATATGTTAAAGTTGATAGAATGGAAAATGGTTGATGTAAATTTTTACAGGTGCTTGCGTAGTGAGCTGTCCATTTATTTTTGATCAATACATTGATTTGTTGTTATCGTTCGTTAGTATACATTGTTGTTATATTGACAAATATATCCAGTGATTTGTTCCAATTCTTTGTTTGATTTGAATTGAAATTTCTACATATTCATATGCATACAATTCAATGAATTGTGTTAGTAGCGTTCCTTTTAATTATTTTATGGCATATCTAATACAAGATGTCTTAGTGAAATTTTGAGTAATAATTTTTTTCAAGCTCATCTTTTTCTGCACAATATGCTTCCATGTTTCAGTAATATCGTCTGATAGTGTTATTATAATAAAAGAAATTATCTGAAAATTTTCTTTGTTTTAGTTGATTCTAACTATCAGTTTTTTTCTAAGAAAATTGTTTTTGGCCAGAAGAAAAAAGGACTGGGAATTAATTCGGGAATATAATTTATCGCTGTTCACAATTGGCTGGCTGTTGTATCCTTTGAATATGAAAAAATTTTTGAATTTTCAGAATATGAAATATACACATTCTTAGCATTTTAGCACTAGGAGTTAAAACTTTTTTAGTCTGAAATTCCATGCAACAATGGAACTAGAAAGGAGATCGGATTTGGGATTTGCAAATGCCAATATTCAGAGAAAAGTTTTAGGATATCAAAAAAGGAATGAGAATTAGTTCGGGAATATAATCTAAAGTTTGTTTAAAAATTCATATTGTTGCTTCCAGACCGAGATTCCAGGATTTTCCATAGCATGGAGTGGATTTCATTCGTAAACTGAAATGAACATATTAACTGTATTTCCAATAGCAATGGCATTGGCGGATATGGTTATTGAAGAAGTTGGTAATTTCGATTATTTTCAACTAACTTTAATTTACCCAACGTCTGCTTGTCGTGCTTATTATGACCGATCCACTAAATTTATTGCTATGGAGAGTTTTTGCAAGGTCCCCGTCGATGCTGCCCCGTGGACAATTCATGGGTTGTGGTAGGTTCGAATAATCTTGGAATTTGGGTTTTTTTCTTTCAAATGCTCACATATAGAAAGATCCACAACAAAATTTCCAATTCAAGTTTTTGATTTTTCAAATGTTGTGAGTCTTTAAAAAACATGATTTTCATAAATTGTTGGAAAAGGTCAGTTTATTTCTCCTTTTCAAAGCTTCATTTTTGATTTTGGCGAGTCATTTTTATTTTAATTATAAAGCTGAATTTCGAGTTTTCTCGATTTTAAGGCCGAGTCGTAACGATGGATCATTCCCGCAGTTCTGTGATGGCAAAAAGAAATTTAATGTATCCAAACTTCTCCCAATTAGACAAAAATTGGAAAGAAGTTGGCCAAATTTGTTTGTAATGCAATCTGCATCATCGCTTTGGTAAATTCAAATATTTTTGTCATAGCAAATTCTATAATTAAAGTTGAAAAATTCATATTATTGGCTTCTTTCTTTCAGGACTTATCTTCAAGATAATGATAGAGGGCTTGTTAACGGATTTTTTGGGTCGATAACATTTCGTTCTCAGTTAGTAATACCATTCCAGGAAGCATGAATGGGAAAAGCATGGAACATGTGCAGGAGTTGTGGAAGAAGTCAGCGATGAAGTGAAATATTTTAACAAATCTCTTGCTCTCTATGAACAATTTGATATCTTCGGGTATCACTTTTGATTTTTATTCATACAATAGAAATCATTTGTTAATGAAACTGATAAAGATTGAAATCTAGTCAGTCTATTTTTGACTAAACCACTTTTTTTGAAAACTTGTCCTGAGTATGGTTAAATTTAAAGCAGAAAAATTATCTGTGATAAATTTTGCTGAACGAGATAACTGTATTTCATATTTAAAAAAAAAGTTTTTTACGAATAGTTTCAAAAACATCCGTAAAATTCTTAATCTCTTTTTAATCCAATTTGTAATTATTTAAAATTCCATAAAAACATATTATTTTCGGATTTTTCTCTTTTCACTTGCCATTTTGAATTTATATTTAAGCTTTTGCAGCATGTTGGGAAAGCAAGAAATCATTCCATCACAAGGAAAGTTATATGATAGAACATTATTGCATCGAAGTCTAACATCTGCTTATGGAAAAAATGTGGAATTTCATTGCCTAAAAGATAAAAAGGTATTTCTCTGTAGTTTACTTAATAACTTTTCATCTTACTGTTAGCTATTGCTTTGTCATATTCATTATTCATAGTTTGCAGACTAAAAATTGGTTGTTAGCTGACGTTCGTCTATGTTTAACAAAAAATTTCCAACTTATGGATTGTAAGATGAAGCCATGGAAATGGCAAAATTCGAAAATGTCGCGCTTATCAACATATCAATTTTGTCCGATAGATAATATCGCCTACTTTCCCTTCAATAATGCTTGTTCAGTTGAAAGCAATAATATTGTTGTCGGACATATAATCTCAATTTTATTCATAACGCTGTATAATTTGTGGGATTGCTTTCATCTTCAGACGTTAATATTCTAACTGACTCATCAGAAAGCTCATTTTTTCTTCTCTTCGATTTGTTTTATTTATTATGTAATATATAATAAGGAAGTGATGAGAAATTTTTGATTGTGAGGGAAAAAAAGGTAGACTACTACTAAAGAATATTTTGCAAAAAGGATTCGGAAGATTTTTGATAAAACATAACAGTTTTATTGATAAGTTATAGTGCATATCAAAATTTAAAAGTATAACAAACGTAGCAAATTTTTTTCAATATATTTGGATATTCTCGATTTGTCACTAGACCTAGCAAAGTACAATTGACTAATAATCATGTATTTAAAAGAGAAACAAATTTGCAACGCAAGGAAATTACAATGTCTTATCCACGAAGTTTTTTTTGTAGTATTTAGTGATATTTTACTGATATTTCATTTAATGATTGTATTATTGAATGATATTTAGTGATTTAATGATATTTAATGATATATGCATTATTTAATAAGCATATATACTTATATTTTATGATATTATTTAGATCAGCTACTCTTTTTTGCATACTAACTTGCTTTTGTATTTTATGCTACACCGAATGTTTCTGTATTTCTTTCTTTTAGTTACTCTTTGACAATTTTCCAGAAAAAGTTTGGGAAAAAAACCATTTGTCAGTTGTATACGATCAATAATGATCGTATTTAAATCAATTTTTTTATCTGATTTGTTTTGTTGACGGAGCAAAAAGAGCCAAAAACCATTAAGATTGTCGGGGTAAATTAACTGTCAAGAATGTTGGATTTTAAGATCTCATATCACCTGAATGATATTCAACAGTTTTTGCAATATTATAGTTTATGTTGTAATTATAATAATATCAGTTTATTTAAAATGTTGGATTTTAAGATCTCATATTTCCAGTGTTTCATATATATATATATAACATTTCCAATGTTTCATATATAGTTTTAAATACATCACAAATGAAACATTCCTTTTTTTCTGTCCCGCACTCAGTTGACTATATGAAACGTTGGAAATTTTGTAGCTTAGAAATATCCAAACGCATTATTTTTTATTTTAAGAATTTCCGTTTAGCCCATTTTGAACTGATCAATGCTGTTTAATGATCAATGCTGTTTAATCTTAGCCTGCTAAGATCTTTCTAGGATTATCTTCGAAAGATGCAAAAATGATTTTTATATGTTGGCTTTTGATATTGCTCATATTCAGCAAGAAAAGTAATAAAGTAAATATGGAAGTAGCAACGAATAAAACCTGAAATTGAGATATATTGGAATTGAAATAAAGTGTTTGTTTCGAAGTCTGACAATAATTATTCGAAATTCTTTTCCGAAATCTTTCTAATTCTTTAAATTTCGATCTTATTAAGAATAAATGCATCAATTTCTTCCTCTTTTTCTTGCAGAAAATGGTATTTTTAATAAGGATAACGAATTTATGATTCAATTTTTAGCTAGTTTTCTGTTCAAAATTTAATTTCAGTTTTTATCTTTTGCTAAACAAAAGAAATTTTATACAATTTTCAGGAGAACTTACTGCTAAAAAACGTAACCATCAGGTAACAAAGTCATCATCTTCGTTTTCATTAATAAGTGCAAGTTTTTGGGCTACTTCAAATGAATTCCAACAACTAATTGCATGAAGTGCAGTACAACACAAGCAAGTTGTGTCGTTCGATACTGAAAAGAACAAATAAAAATTTTTTAACAGCAGCGTGAAATCCTTAAATTCGATCAAAAAATTCAGGTAAATTAATCAATAAGAAATTTTTTCAGCGGTATGCTTGCTTATTGCTGTTACATAGATAGTAATTAAAAAACTACTAATAGTAATTTTAAAAAAAGTTTATATTTTAAATTTATTGCGTATTTGTTATGGTAGATAAAAAGTGTGCGATATTCACCGTAGTCGTGGAATATATATCGCTTATATGCGTTGATATCGGTATGAGTAGATAAAATTGATGCATTGATAAGAAAAATGATGAAGATATTGCAATGTATTTGGTGAGACTTTGTAATGAGGAAATCAATATCGTTTGAAAATGAATAGAGCGGTAAGCCAAATTATATGAGCAAAAAGAAAAAGAAATAAGGCAATATATGATATAAATAGAATAATAATATTGGGTAATTAAAGGAAATAAATGCTAGGTAAATGCCATAGATTTCCAGGTTAATTTAGACTATTTAGAATCAAAATTTATTGAAGTTATATTAACCTATCGTCTGAATATCCGATGATAAAATCATGCATATTTTTAAAGTTTTCTAAGATAACGATGATGATGATATCCCTTATGCTTAATTCTGAATTTTTTTCTAAATTATTTTAACAAAAAAAAGATAAGAGTGACCATTAGGATAGATGAAATAGATATCCACAGAATATAAGAATGGAAAATCTGCACCCTTTTAAAAGCCATTGACTGGTATATATTCAATTCAAATTTTGAGTCTTTTCTGGAGAAGGTTAAGTTAGTAAACACGGATGAATAATCTGATTTTACGGCAACTATTGTACAAACTGAAATTATTATGATTGAATTCTTTGGATATCGTAAATTGAATTTCTTTACTAATTCCATCGCTGATAATACCTAAATTTTGTAGTATATCTTCGAAACAAAAGTGATAAATGCTGTCTCACGGTATATCACTTTAAAAATGTTTTCAACTTTACATTTTTCAATACGAAGCAAAAAATTTTTTGGAAGTCCATAAACGCTTACCAGAACTATGCAATTAATTGCAGTCATTATGGATACGCTCATTGCATGTATGGATATTTGATAATAAGTGATATTATCACCGTTACTTCGCCAACTCAACAACTACAATAAAGTTGAATATATTAAGAAGTTTTTGCTATGCAGAATTTTATGTGTTATGCGTTGCTCATAAAAGAGGAGGGAATATTTTATGAATTGATGGTAGAATGATAAAAAGAAAAAGTTAGTAAAACTTTTTCAAATAAAACTAAACTTTTGGTGCATTAGAATTTTTTGAATTAAAGCAAATTGAGCCTTATTTGTATATTTATGGAAAATTTTATATTGCGAAGTATCTTCATCTAAACATTTTTCTTTTTATATAATTTTTGAAGCTGTAATTAATTAATTTATTATTCCAAAGTTAAGAAGTACCAAGAAAAAGTATGACAAATCCAACTAAATTTAAATAATTCAAAAGTGGCAACAAACATTGGAAGTTAATTCGAATAAGGTGTGAAAGAAATATGAATAATAAATGTTTAAAAGGCAAATATATCATTAATCTTTCTCATTGTTTCATATCACTGCAAAATTTTAGCAACAATACTGGTAAGTGCGTATTATCAAAAATTGCAAAATATATTTTGAATATACAGCGTATATTTACCTGACTGATTACAATTGAACGAATTTTTGTAATATTTTCTTTTTCTCTGCATCCTGAACTGGAAAGCTAGTAACAGACTACGGAAAACATATGCTCATAACTTCGTGCGTCGAAAAATACTTCACTACAGTATGAATGTTTATTCTCCCTCTCCTTCAAGATTATACAGTATGGTTTGTTTCAATGACGCTACTATTTTTCTTTGTTGGATTTATGAAGAATGGTTACACAAATTGTGTTAGCATATTTAGCTTTGATAATAGTTGTTCTATTGTTAAATGAGCAGATCCTTCACAATTCTTAGGTTTTTAAAATTTTTTCCAGTTACAATTCAATATTCAATATGTTACTCATCACTGTGCAATAGCAATTAAATTCCAAGTTTGAAAACATTAATCAAGCATTCGAATCTTCTTCAAAATCGCCAACAAAGTCGCATAAAACTGTCTAGCAGCTATATTTCATTTGCCTAAGTTGTGAGGTCTATGCAGTTATATTTACATTCAATCAGGGAATTGTTCACAGTTTTAGACTTTTGAATAAATATATCATTTCCTTGCAAAAACAGAAAATTGGAACAAAAATTTTATTAGATAGCAAGTAACAAATAACGGCTTCATGTTACTTTAGATGAGATGCTACCGATTCTTTCGTTTCTTGAACCCATGAACCTTTTTGATCTTCCTTTTCGATTCTTTTTTATGCGAATTATTTTCTTCTTCCAACATCGCTGTGAACTTAAAAAAAATCGAGATTTAAGAGAAAAACGATTACAATTTCGATTTTTATTAAGAAAAATTTTAAGAAATAAAGGTCTAACAGAAATAAAAGTACTCCGAAAAAGACGGTAATTTGGTGATGTTAAAGAGGAACTAAATGAAAACTGAAACAATAAAACATCGTCGAGTGGTTAGTCCCACATCTTGAACAATTGCCCCATAATTCCTACGAAACTGTTGTTAAATATCGTTTGACAATTCCCGAAACAAACCTTATCAGCACTTATTGCAGCATCTTCCATATAACTGAACTGTTGAGCGGAATCATCCGAATCATCACTATCGCAACTTTCCTTTGTCCGTTCAACAAATTCGTCTTCACTTGATTCTTCTTCCTCCGCAGTATTTGATTCTTCCTTTAAAATCAATTTCAATATGGGCTAAATTTATTCACTAGATACGAATAAATGGTGCATGAGAGTAATCTAATTAAAAATTCGTTTGATATTTAAACAAAGATTTACTACATCACTACTCTTTTAATATTTAATTTAATCTTCACATTTTCTTCACTCCAATCTTCAGGCTCTTCGTCTTCATCAACATCCATCATATCTTCCTTTTCCATATCATTCTCTTCCTCCTCGTCAGTATCATTTTCAAGCGGCCGCTTTCGGCCTTTTGCTTCTTTATTCTTCTCAATACCGAATTCCTGACTGAAGTCAACATCAAATACTTCGCTTCGTTCACCCGGTTCGAAACGATCTAAAGAAATTAAAAACTACTCTTTGATTTCGTTAAATGAGATCTTTAGAGGAGAATTTGCTGTACAGAAAAATCTTTCAGCAGTTAAAGTAATATATGTCTTTACATTAAGATTCAAACATATATAAAACAAAAAGAAGCACCCAAATTATTTACTTAGCAACATATTGAACTCATCGGAGTTGACGCTTTCAATATCATCATCATCATGAACAGTATCTCTTTCGTTTTCTTCCTTCATCCGCATTTTCACTGACACAAAACGGTGCAAAAACCTTTCATCGATAGGTATTTCACTTCTGCTTTTTGTAGCATATTCCTAAAGCATAGAAAATAAATAAGAACATGTAGCACTCTAATAACAAATATGCTAGAAAATCGGCGAAATGAAGAATTACCTTCGATATTACTGGTAGCTTCCTAACACCATGAGGATCGTAGATTTTGCGCCGCATAACTTTCTCATTCGTATCTTTTGTTTTGGGATTCCGAAACACGAAACGGTCCAGAAAGCGCATTTGAGTAAAATCGAGTAACGGATCACTATCATATCGTATTGCTATACCCTATAATCATCAATTAATATCAGAATCCAGGAGGGAAGAAATTACTTCATAATAGGATGAAAACAGTTAATTCAGTGTAGTTTATGCCTGCTTAGGCGACAAAAATAAAACCCAGATCTCTTTTACGAATTATTTTGAAAGTTAATTTCACGTTTTCCATTTACATTAAGCAGATTCGACGCAAACACAGCAACTGAAGGATGGTAATGCATGCTTAATAGTGTTAGTTCTGCAGCAATACTTTTATCAGCACGAGAGAACAATGGATTTCTAATCATTGGATTGTATGTTGTCGCATTGCTTCGCACTACTGAAATATGGTGTTTTAAAGGCAGCTAGAGCAATGATTCAAAAAAGTTAACAACTAAATCATAAATTGAAATACATAATAAATGACAAAACCACAATGAACTCTCGTAAATCATTGATGATTTCATGAAATGTTAAAAAGAAAACGACTAATACCGATGTTATTTTTGTGCATCCATCCGAAAACCTTTTTACAGGGTTTGACATCATTAATCACCTTCTCATTACTTTCAAATGCTGAGTTTACTGAAACTCCATTAGTTACTGTTTCTGTGGAGGAGTCGTAATCATGATACACTTCCTCTTCATCATCGGCAACTTCCGCTTCCACATTCTCACTGAATTTTGTAAGCTGAAATAATATCATTCAACTTGACAAAAAAATTACAATGAGCCAAAAACCAGGGAAAAGTATTCCTGTCTGGCAGACGAGTAATTCAATAAAATAATACATTCAATTTACTTCGTCAAAAATAAATTTGTTTGTTGTTACATAATTGTAAAGTCTCATTTCAAGAATGTAATGTTAAAAATGAAAACTACCTTTTCGGAACAGATTAAGTATCAATAACGTAAAAATTCAATTACTTACATCAGCAGTTTTCTTAATTATTAATAATGATGGTCGCTTCTCAATCAATCGTGAAATCAAAATTAACGTTGCAGCGGCAAATGGAGCATTCCGACACAGAGACAACTGAAAAGATTGGATTTCTGAGAGCATTTGCAGGAAATAGATCAAAATCAATAAAAACCGCGTTGCTATGAAGAACAAAAATTTTACGACTTAATTCAAAAAATCTCATATTCCATCAGTGGTGATTACATTTGCACTGTTTATCTCAAAGTCTCCAGGTTCTTTCAATAAACATCTTGAAACCAGATTTTCGAAACCAATCTTATCTTTCGCTTGATGGTATTAAGTTTGGTATTAACCAAACTTCTTTAAAGAAATCTTTCAACAAATGCATTCAAATTCAGAATCGGATTATGGGTATCTTTATATAAAAATGCAAACCTGCAAAAGACGCTTGATGAATGCAATAACTCGATATTCAACACTATCCGAGGATAAAGCTTGATATAACAACGAAAATAATTGCCTATCTACATTTGTGCCATGTTGAAGATCCAGTATACGTCGATAAAGAGCAGCATAAAAACGATCCGAAATCCCCTCACTATTGACAAATATAATAACATTTGGTAAATATAACATAATAACATTAAATATAATAACAGTAAATATAATAACACTTGCTTGATGTTCATTATCATTTTAAAGTTATGGCCAATGATCATATTTTTATTAATGGATTGGTCTATCTAAATATGCTCTCTAGGCAGAAAAAATTTTCGACTTAATGTCCTCCATATATCATTACCGAGAATAATCCACTGATTTCACTAATAAATCAAGCTATCTAAGCAAAAGTGTGTAGAGAGAGACAAGATAAAGCTAGAAGTCTTAAAAACAAAAACCTTGTTGTAAGAAGCTGATATAATAACTTCAGTGTCTGCAAAGCAGTTGAAAATTTTGATTGGTGTAAAATTTTGTATAAAGTGTCGATTTCTTTCATCAATTTATCTACATCACCTGTTAAATATAAGTTAGAGCTGTTGATTCAAATAGTGTTTAAAGTTTTCAGTTATATCCAAAACGTTTCCACTAAATGCTTTGCATTCCTTCAATGTCATGCAGATCAGATAAATACAAATAACAGTTAATATCAAATATAATGCATAACAGATAAATTACAACTGTCATCGCCAAATTATGTGAAGCATCAGAATACATGTTGTAATGTAATTGTTAAAAACCTATCAACTCACTAGCAAATTATTGTTCTGTTTTTTAGAGGAAATTAAAATATTAGTGAAACTAAATGAAAAAAAGAAAAGTGAAATTTCACAATAAAAGAAAACCTCTTGCATAGGAGAATACCCGATTCGTAGCCAACAACAAAACATTCAATATTTTTTCATCCATTTTCTTATTCAAAACTAACATTCTAAATAATCCTATATAGATATTAAGCAATGTTGATGCAAGTGTTGAGTCACAACCATGAAGGTTCATCTGAGATAAAAATGAGATTGCATGAAGCTGTGTACAGCATGAAACATTCCTGTAAATACAAAACATTCAATTTGAATTATTAAAAGAACGATTAGTTTCCTAATTTTTATTCAAAGCTTAGAAAGCTAAAACAACAGCAAAGATCAGAATGTTAAGAGTCAAGATTGGACATAAAAGCAAACTTCCGATAAATAAGTCGCTCCACTTCTTTAACAACAACATGACGCATCAGAGGTTGCTTTCTGGTTAACTGCAGCAGATATCCACAAACACGTGTAGCCAATGTTTTATTTGGGTATCCCAGTTTATTGATAAGCAAAGATAGCAATTTCTAATAAAAAGAAGAGAGTTTAACAGCGATCGCTAGAAACCAAAACCGGTACTAATCAAAACTTACAACTTTCTTTAAAAATAAGTAAGGGGGTAATAAAAAGGGAAACTCATTTTCAGATCTACACATTCTAACAGACAAATTGCATGCAGATATAGTACCTGTTCTTGTTCGGCACGTGCGGTTAATAGTTCCAGAGCGTAACGACAAGACATTATGCCCAATTTTTCTATATTTTCTCCAGCTAATCGCTAGAATGACAAACAATATTTTATTTCCTCATTAATCACAAACTTTCAGGTATATATTCAAATTTTTGCAAAACATACCTCAACTGCAATAACGAATTTCTCATAAATAGCTTTCAAATCTGATTCAAATTTCCAGAGTATAAGTTTTTTTTTCAAATTAGAATCCTTGTCCAATGATGATAAATTTATTTTATCCACTGGTCTCTGGAATTTAAAAACTTTAGCGAAAAAAAAGCTTTTCAGCAATTATTGCAAAAATTGAAATAATCAACAATTAACTGACCATTGAGAAGGGTATCAATTTTCGCTTTGGCGGTAATAATTCATTAATAAACAAGTCCTTTAGCAGGCCTGAAAAATTGATATAATTGAAAACAAAATTATTTCCATACGCACATGAAAATATGAGGGCATGAAAGTACTAGATAAAAAAATTAGGCATAGTAAGAATTAACCGAGTATAGAAAATGCCTCTCTTGTATTTTTCCTAGCAACAGTATTAACCAATGATGCAATATGTGCAAGAGAATGAACTGGATGTCGCTGTATCAATATCTGCATAGCAGTTACTTTATCGCTGGCCGTACCACGCGTCAGAATTGTGCTCAGCCATGCTGCCTCAGTCGTGTTTTTCTTACTTTGCACTGCAATTCATTCTCATCTCGAAAAAGTAATGAAAATTGAAAGAACAAGAGGTGAAATTTGAACTAATAGATCGCTTGGTTACCCAATCAAATTATTTAATAATAAAATGGAAAGTGGTATAAAAAATCGTCTTAAAGATGAAGATTATAAAAATCATTTATAATACAATAAAAGCCAGAAGCTATCAAAAAAATATAAGTTTCATTGTGTTTTGAATTTTCATGGAAACATTTCTAAATGTTTTAATTGATGAAAACAGCAAATGTCCTGAGAGAAGGAGGAAATAGGAGATCCGTTAAGCGGAAATGCTTTTATATAAACCTGAATCTCACTGCACAAAAATGCATTCAAAACATCAACTTTCTAGAATTTAAAAAAATATATAAACATACTCTGCCACTGCAATTCACAATCTTTTTTTAATAAAATTTCTGCTTGTTCTTCAATGCTATTGAGATAATTCAAGTCAGAAGTCAGTTGCTCAGCACATTCCAGATTTCCATAATCGTACCATTTTGTTTCAAGTGAATGCCGAATTAAAGGTCCAACTGTTGTTGACGGTGCCATTTATTCAATCTTCAAATTAAAAAACAATTTTTGGAAGAATTACAAAATCTAAGATTTAGTCCCTGCTAATACATAGGGAAAATCTCCAGCCTACATTAAAAATGAAAAACAAAACTCAGGCACATAACTGCTTATGTTAAAAAGCAGAAATCAACTGTAAAAATTAATAAATGAAATGGACAGATATTTAAGCCAAAAAATTCCTGACGAACTTAATTTTTCCAAACATGATCAGGAAGAGCACACCTGAACTAAAAACTGATTAAAACAAAGCAGGTTGGTAAAATCACTCTGATTGTAAAGAAAGTTGAATTATTCTACACAAAACTCCGACCCGGTCATTGTCAATAAGCAACAACCGTCTCAACGCCAGCGGACTATGAAATCTTTTTCAATAATGCGCAAGTGCCAAAAAAAGCCCACTCAAAGGACACTTTTCTTTTTAAGACCAATAAATTCACTATTTCGTACTTTGTTTTATGATGAAAGGATTTAAATAATAGAATTTACAGCTCTTAGATTGACCTACAAATGAAATGTCTACAGAAAAATCCAAAACACACAAAAAATTAGAATCATAGATGAAATTTCGCATGATATTGAAGAATGGTAAATGAAGTTTCCGTTCAAACATCAAATAAATCTGACATACAGTGCTGAAAAAGCAGCAACATAAATTTATTTTTCAAGTAAGACCATTCGAAATTTAACAAATTACAAACTTCAAAATGTTACAATGGCTTTAAAGAAAACTAAACAATATAGTTTTTTTCTCATTAAAAAATAACATTACAAAATAATCAAATATGGTGACAAACATCAAAACACATTCAGCAGTAATAAAGCATGAAGATCTGTTTTATCAATCGATGAGAATGGAAAGCGCTACAAAAGTTAACAGGCAAGCTTAATTAACCTAATAGTGAATCACCTCTGCATTAGCTGGTGAAGTGTGTCTTGGTTCTCTTTTGAAAAATTTAATCCATATTACTATCCGAACACCAACAATCACTTCTCTCAAATAGTATCATTCAAATCAGCATAAATGAGACGGTATAATTTTGTGATTTTCTATTTTTTTAAAAGTAATCTTTAAGGAATTACAGCTACGCTGTGTAAGGAAATGGATCAAATTCAAATTCCATAATATGCTACAATTAAGGACGGATTTTGGCAAATCCCAACAGTGTCACACAAGTAGAATGACATATCAAAATATTAGGTAAATAACACAATGATAAAAACGAATTTCAGCTAAAAATGTTCTTGCGCGATTTAATAAGTTTCAAATACTAAGTTGTAATAAGATTTTTCCCAAAACATCAATAAACTTCATTTCCACTCTTCGTCAGGTTATTTTGGCTTCCCAAAATATTCTCGTGCCTTCCTTTCGGCGCCAACGCAGATATTATATACTGGCGACAATCTTGCCTATAAAATAACAAATACTATGTGAATCATTTGTTTTTTAGGAAACTGTTTCCTCGATAATCTGAATGAGCAGTGAGTCCAATCTTCATACTGATGAAGGTTTGGAATGATATTATTTCGTATGCCTAAGATACGTTAATTTACGTTAATTTGGTTTGAACTGTTCTACTTCTAATCACAGCAAAAATGAAAGCGATTCTGCAGTAAATAGGTCAAAATTCATACCAAGCGATTAATTTCTCCACCAACGATAGCATCCGTTGTATAATACTGTGCAACAGAAAGCCCACTCAAAACGTAACACGTATGGTATAAATCACTCGATCTTCAACACCATATGATTTAATTGAAATTCGAAAATAATCGTTACACTGCTCATGTGCTGTATATTTTGTAGCTAGGGTGCTTAATTATTTTAATTTAATCAAAGCAAACTTTTAAACTGAAAGTGACAATGGTGTCAAAAGTTATGAAACCAAACTGTGTGCAATTTATCACAACCCCAAAACTTTGCTCTCTCAAATTCCGAAATTTCTACTTCCTAAAAATTCTAAATCGGAATTACTTACCTAAATACTGAGGAGAAAACACAAATGATTATTAACAGTAATTAAAACAAAACTTCAGGTCAAATTTCGGGCATTTTTGGAAGTTTTCTACTAATCGACATTTGGTCGTTCAGACTAAACTAAACCTACCGAGTTCCACAGACAAATTACAAGACATGCAGTACGAACTTGTCTGGTTTGTCCCGTAAGCCACCATTTTCGATATCTTGGCATGCAACCAGAATATATTCTTGTAACGCTTTTCCATCAAATGATGAACAGATTTCACTTCCTACAGCAAACTGGGCAACTTCCAACATAGGAAATACAGCAGCTAGCCAAAAACTATAGCAACCATCAACCAATTTATTTGTCCTACCCTGGAAAAAGAAAGAAATTAAGTTAATCTCTTTGGAAATTTTAATTCAATATTCAGATACATTTCTTTCTTCCCTTAAAACATCTTAACTCTATCTGCAAGGAAAAGTGATAAATGAACAGTCAAGTCAAATTGTTTCCACTCCTATTCTAGCCTAGCCAAATCAGACTATTTGCAGAAATATCTTCAGGTAATCGAAACGATCAAAATTCGAAACTTGAATTTGACTTACTTGAAAACCTCCTTCAAATTTCATTTGTTTTTGAGCAAGCCATCTGTATAATGATGAAGCGTGAATTAATGCACTTTTTCCTAGTAGAATTAATGCAGCCACTCCACAAAACGTGTAACCACCATGCGCTTCACAGCATCGTTCACCACCGAAACCACCTTCATATGTTTGACAGCTGAATTGGACCCTCATTTAATTTAGAAAAAAAATTTTTTAATGAAAAAGTTAAGTTGATGACAAAGAGGAAAAATAAGAAGTGAAGTGTCCAGTAGTAATTCTATAATTTATATTACTGAACACATTCTCGGAAAACCAATCGGATAATCCAACTATTCCATAATTTATATTACTAAACAAATTCTTGGAAGACCAACCTGATAATCCAACTATCAGCATTTTTCCTTAATTGATCATCCAAAATATTCGTAATAGAAGCAACAGCAAGAGCACAGTACGAGCCTCGCATATCAACTTCACCACCAACGTGTAATGCAAACCCACCATCAGCGCGTTTCACAGAATGCAGAAAATCAGTTAGAGTTTTCCTAAAGCACCGATAATATTATTTCGTTTGCATTTTACGATGTCAGTTGAGATGCACTGCATGCAGAGACTTATGATCATGAATAATTCCAGTTCTCACCGGGCTTCATTATCAGTTAATTTAGTAGTCAAGCTTCGCTCTCCAAAAAGAAATGACTTAAAAAGCATAGATACTATAAACAATACAAACCTGTTAATACTTCCAAGCGCTTCATCGGTACCGATGCTTATTAGTGCCATTACCGCACCATATGTTGTTGCCAAATGTGGATACTGCCCTGGACCACCTTAACATCTAGTTTTTAACTCTAAGGTGACAAATAACAAAGTAAGTCCAACACGCTAGATGCTCTCATGACCAACAGTTGAAATGTGTGCTTGTAAAAAAGATTTCTCGCATATGTCTGTCAAATGAACAAAAGAAACTGCTCGCCTCCATATCCACCAGTAGGCCATTCGCAGGTCTTCAAAAATCGAATAATGCTGCAAAGAAGTATCATTTTAATAAACAGAATCAGATCCTCATTTCTGCTTTCCAGTTTTGGCTTTATTTTTGAATTTAATGAAAAATCACTTATATAGGTTTATACATAAACCAGTACTACTATCCACTCAATAAATATTCTAACAAAATGCACTTAGAAGCTAAGTTATCGTCGAGCGATGCTTCCAAAAGCTTTAAACTGTGCATTCCCCAATAACAGAACCATGGCCGCGATGCATCGAGATGCTGAATATGTAAAAAAATTATATGAGATTTGAAATGATACAGCAGGAATCCTTTCCACTTTCATTTTAAACACAATTATCTCTTAAATAATCAAACGTTTGTCAAAACATCTAACCGAAGATCCGGGTAAAACGGTGGGTAAAAGATTCTACGGTTACTGAATAGATTTCTCAACAACTGTAATTATCTTGTAGATTTGTCCTTTTGAGAAAAAAGTTGTCAATTATTTTAAAAATTAGAGGAATGACAATCGTTATTTCTATTAGGTTCTGATTCCAACTCTGACTATAAACTTCCTTACCGAGCATGACTTTCCCAACTGCTTTAAAGACCGATAGACAAGTCTAGTGTGAAGCGTTCTACACAGTGTCGGCGCATATTCTGAATCGTCATCCACACTATCCAAATAAGCGTCGACGAATTTTCGAGCTTGTTCTCTGGCAAGTTCTTCAACTCGCTTCTGAAAAACATGTGACTAACATGCCGAGAAAATAAAACCACATTTCCTAATATAAAACATCATAATCACGTTAGACCATATGTAAGTTACGAAAAGGTGGTAATATCAATGAAAGCAATTACAGAAAATTTAGAGAAGGTTTGAATCAAAATGAGTGGAAATCTAATCACCGCTCATCTAAAGACATCCACATAACGAAAGACCACAACAATATTATGGATTGATCACTCTAACGTACCTGTTCCGTACTACTGTAGGTAAAGAAGCCATCATCATTAAAAGCGTACTTCTCATCAAAGGCACTGAAGTTGTACACCACTGACAATCCATCCATTAACTCCTGCGGCTTCGCCTCCTCCCAGGAAAATTCCAAATAAATTTCAGCTGCGAATGTTGGAATTAAATACCAACCAAACCTGAGACCTCCTGTAAAACCAATGGCTCTTCCCTCTCCTTATCTTCTTTGTTCCATGCTTTATACTTAATAATATTAAACAATCTGTTTATAAACTAAGAACTTAACAATATATTCAACCAATTCAATTGTTACACATCATGTAAATCAACGAGAAAACAAAATCCTGGATTAAATTCCAATATGCATATTTTGAGGAGACAAAAAACTGCGAAACTAAGTATGAATTAAAGGGCAAATAAACAAACACGTTTATACTACCTCGAATGTAAACAATTAATAGGAATACGAACAAACACCAGTTCAAATAAAGTGACAAGTAAAAAGAACAAAGATGTACGGCAGTCAGTCTAAATGTGGCTCAGAAATCACAAACAAAATGATCTTGTTTTTTCCCTGTCAAACATTAAAAAATTGTAGAAATATTCATACTTCACAAATCCATCACAGTCATAATATCACAGTAACTCATTTCGATCACTAAGTAAATTCCTGACCTCGTTAACTTAAGTCTTCTTCAAGAAGTTCTTAAATCTGCTTTCGTTATCAACCATACGAATATCTTCTTGCAAAAATTATACTGCTATAACAATGATTAATATACAAAAAAAATAAGTCAAAATGAAACGAAATGACTGTGGTATTTTGGAATTTGTAACAGCAGCATTTTTGAAATCATGTTTGCAGAGTCGATAATTGTTATACAGTTGACTGCCTTTGTTCGCCATTATTATTCATCTTAGATGAAGAAAGTGGACTCGCTGATGGTGAGTTCCGTTTACTGTCCACAAATGTAGTAGCTGCGAGAACACGTATCGGTAAAACATTGGGAGGGGGCATAAGCTCTCGATCGCTAAGCACTATCCCGTTTGACAATGTATTTACATCTGTAACACAACCCAAAGGCTTGTCATCCAAAAGTAAACCGTCGTCATCAACGCACCTGAAAAAAGTGATTATCTAGCCAATAACAATATTCTATTAAATAATTAAGATTATGATATGATATGAAACCACGAGTTTATACGTTTTCACGAAATTCAAAAATCGAAAAAGTCAGATTCCGTCCCTATCCTGTTCCTCACTACTTCTAACATCTCGATACTAAGAACACTGTACTTCTCCTCTCTTTTCACTTTTCGTGGCCGGCCTCTTTTCGGCTTTGTTTCGTTGCCATCCATTTCACCATTATTTTGTCTTCTTTTAGTACTCAACAGATTTCCACTAGATGGCAATTTTGGCAAACCTATTTGGGTCGTTAGCATCGACATACTCATGTGACTGGAAGGATCTGTCGCAGGACCTAAATAACAACTAAATTCGAACAATATTTGGGAACGCAGATTTAAAAAATCAAAATAAGGCTTAAATTTCAAAGAGACTGAAAAACTCTATTTAAAACAGAAACAAAAAAAACGGAGCAGATAAAAACGTTAGGCCAGATGGAATGGAAACAAATAAATGTGACAAAGTCGATAACCTGGAGGATAAAAACCAGAAAGCGAAGGATGGTCGGCCAAATCAGTTTTCCAATGCAATTCGGGTCCAGCTGATGGTGGTAAAGGTATTTCTCGAACCAGTGATTCCAAGAATTTAAAATGCGGAGTTTGCATTACAGCTTGTTTTCTAAAATTACATATAGACTAAAAATTACATAAATTAATAGATGATGCAGTTCGGGTCCAGCTGATGGTGGTCATATGGCCAAATTAAGTTATACATATGCTGAACTTTTAATCGAACATAACAAAAGTGTAGGGATCTAGCAATATAAGAATCAAAAAGTTACATATGTGATGGAGAGAGAGTGCGTGATGTAGAATATAAGACACACTGCGCAGCAGTTTCAAGTAGTTTCTCAGCAAAATGCTCCATAGCTCGACCAATCGCTACCGGTACTGATGCAACCATACGTCCAATTTCGTCATCACTTTGCATTACCCGTTTTACTCGAGTCTGAAATTGGAAATCTGAAGTAATTCCGAATTGATATCTATCACTTTGTGACGAAATCCGACCCCTGAAGGACATCAATACTTGCATCTCGAAATCAGATGCCACGCGAGTCTCCGAAATCAATTTTATTCGTAGGTTGAGAGAAAAGCTCCGCAGTTGAAAATCCTCAACTGACGTTTATTATGTGTAAATACGCACATACAATATGAGATTGCTGGAATAGAAGAGGAATAATCAAAATAAACATAATCATAAGGAAAAAACTGACCGGTTGAATTTTCGCACTGCTGAAACGTCGTTTACGAATAGGTGCGGGTACAGCGCCCAAGTTTGTCATACCGCTAGAACATGGTCCAACGCATTCAGAATTTCCACTGCTTTTAATATCCATCACAAAAGGTCCGGATACCTACGGAAAAGGGAAATTTCGATTGAAAAAATCGTAGATAGCGGTGCAATCCTCAAAGAATCCTGCACGTGTCACCTGAAATTATTTTATACGAGCAGAAATGAGATGGTGTTTGTTTAGCTGTATTCAATTAACTCCAACTACCACGGCTTCCACCAGAGAGAAAAGATTACATACATAGGCCCACATACTTCAAATACAGATTGCGATTCAGCATTTTATCCACGTCTTATTAAAATGTTTCACACTCTTCGTCACATTGCAATTTCTTCTCAGCTTGCGCACCATTTTGAAATTACACAATCTTTTCGAATACCACACTCCTAGTGGTATCTGTTAAACAGAGTCGACTTGGTAATTTCTAAATCATTTTGAAGAATTTCCTTCTAGCAGGGTTAACAATGGATAAGACGCTACTGAAGTAATGAAAACAGATTCTTAAGATAGAATAGTGACGAAGAACAAATGATGCAAGCTGTCCATAAAAACCCATTCGGGTCACTCAATCGCCAAAAATTTGAAAAAACTTGAACTAGTACCGAGTCATGAAATCCTTTGCTAAATGAACCTTCCATATATAAAGCGCTGTGATAATATCAAACTGAATGCCGACATAGAATGAAAAATTAACGCGTCATGCGAGTTGCGTTATGAAAAGTTCGACGTATCATCCCGCTTTCTAATGATAATTGTTGACAAAAAATAAGGAGTTAATTAATTGTACAAGTCCATAAGTGATTAAGGAAATTAAAACTGTAGTATCATAATCACACTTGTATCACTCTGAAAGATTTATGCAGGGATAATTTACTGTGATCTTTAAACAGGAAAGAGGTTGCAGTACTTGAGAAGCCAGCAATTAGTTTTGAAAATGAGAGAACGGAGATTGGTGGTCAGTTTGATCTTTTGGTAGGGAAAGCTTTTTCCCTTTTTTCAGCAAAAGTTCAATCATACATTCTTAGCTCTTCCAGTTGTGAACTGAGGGCAGCACCTGGTATATGGTATATGCACTCGAGTACCATGTTACGAACGGTACAGTAAATGTTTTACCTTACCATCTATTCGAGGACCAATCATTGCATTTTGAAGGGCCATCTCGCAGGATGATAAAGTGATCATTTTATGACAACTGAAAAGTGATGGTACAGAGTGTGAGCGGCATTTGAGAGTCGGTAGTCAAATATTCTCGGATAGATCAATATGACATGATTGCATTGCATGTAATTAAAGCCACTGACCTGAAATGACGGAACTTCTCTCATAGGAATTATAGGAAAACTGAAATATTTTTATAACATAAATTCGTTCATATAAGTATTTTTGTATTTGTACTACGATGATTATTTTCAATGATCTGATTATTGTAAAATTTTTAGCTCTCTTTGTTTCCAAGAAATAATTCATTTCATTTGTCAAATGGTCATAAAATTATTCGGCTCTTCCGGTATCTAAAAAAACTATAAAGAGGGGCTTCGAGTTGGTTAATTCTAGACTTGATTTCACTAAAACATAGTTATGTTAAACTTCACGTAAGAGATCATACATGACTTTCACTTCTGTTTCACTTAAGAACTTATCTAATTTGCCGTAATATGAAGAAAATAATGTGCTCACCTTATCTCTAATTGAAAACCAAAAGAACGCACTCATCTCCGAAAATGCGTATGAATAAAGCAATCATCGGAATAAAATCCTATCATGCTCCTTCTCTCATGTCACATGCAAATTTTTCATCGCTGTACAGAAATAGTTTAAATGACTTTTCATGTCTGGGAACTTCTCAGTGTATTATTTTCATATTGTTAGGGGTGGTTGTTATTACCACATGTTTTCGGTCTGTTTTTTTCTTTTTCTCCATTTTCTTCCTTTGACACACGTCCGTATTCTCTCATCTTTCTCCCTCCACACGTGTATGCAATCCCCGTCTTTCTGGTATGTGGAATAGAATTATGTGCAGAAAGCATAAGTTGAAGAAAAAGAGCAGTTACGGTATCATTGTATGGCTACCGCATATTCTCACTACATATGGAAGAAAGATGTTCTTACAAATAGATAAACATATCCTAAATATTTGTCTAAATCTGATCAGGTGAAATTGTTCCGGATAATTTCTAGAGCTTTTCTGTCATGATTGCTGAAAACATATTGATGATTCTTTTTTCTGTTTTATATTAACAAGAATTTAATGTGTACGTGATATTACTTAATAGCTCTACTATCTGCATCTGTCTTACTCTTTATTATTATCATGTAAATATTCCCATTATTCTTTCATTCTTGAATTATACAAATTTCCTGATATATATTTTTTGTCAGGTTTTTAATTGAGAGAGCATGAGAGATAGTCTTATTCATACCATTCATTATTCTCGATATCTTATCCAACTTACACTTGCATGTAGATCAACCGGCAATAGCTTTCGCCGCCTTTTTCACTTCCATAGTAGTTATTGTGAGTTGTTCCATTATGCGATAAGAATGGCAGCTGTTAATGATCTGTGGCCATAATGATGTAGTCTTCTTAGCTTGACCGCGAACTTCTGACACAAGCCATGCAACTATTGTGGGCAGTAGTAGCTTGTAGTATAACTCATAGTGGATTATATAAGTGAAATGTGTATAAGCGAAATGTGTACAGCGAAATGTGTATGAGAGATTTAATTGGGAACGATGGCATGATTCGATCGATCTTTTTACCTTCAATTCCGATTCTTTTATTATTTTCCTCAATTGTATAAAAATTCCCGAAGTTTTGGAGTCAAATTTTAGTACATGGTGGATTTCTCTCATCAACATTAGGGCGATTCCAAGCTTATGTTTTCCTGTGTAGTAGTGTCATCTGTCTCTGTTCCCTATTTGAAGCTAAAGCTCATATCGTTATACGAATTGGTTGTCGTCATCGGTCGCTGGATTCGTGTTTTTTAGAGTTTGAATGGAATAAGTATATACATTCATTATTAGACCTTAAAAATGCGCAATGGATTTCTTCTTTTAAACATATTTGATCAAATTGTGCAATGTGATAATTATAGAACAGTTCAATGTTAATGTCGCCAATAACGCCAAGTGAAGGAGAAAGAATTCCCGCATTTCGACCGCGCGGTCGTGGTAAAAGACAGCCAAACTCAAATGGACCTTCATGCATGTTAAAAATGGCAGCTGTTGGAGGTTGATTATTAGTTCTTTTCATTGAATATATTAATAGAGTTATTATTTGATTTTATTTGGACAAGATAAACATTGATAGAAGTGCTGGGAGGATCAGTTTTCTCGATTATCTCAAATTGCTAATCTTTTTTCATCATAGGATTGTTTGGTGTTAATGTTATCTATTGAAATCATATAGATGATGTTTGCTGAATTATCATTGATTATTCACATGATACTTCGAATCCACGTGACTCTTTAAATGTATGAGCTTGGAACAGGTGAAGAAATGGAGATGGTAGGCAGAGAGATTTGGATTGGTACTAGTTCAGAGGCGCTTTCACGGCAATCTTCAATTTCCGAGCGGATAGACACAGCGGTTTCAGTTGACACACGTTCATTGCAATCAACATTGTCTCGAGAAAATGCGTCTGCGTTGCAACTATGCATTCGTGATTCTACACCTCCTTCAGCCTCCGATGGTTCTTTTTCGGTACACATATTTAATTATAGAAATTTAGAAGATATAAGACGTGGTTGAACAGGAAGTCGGGTATGTGTAAATTGAATTTTAGTTTGTTGAAAAAACGCCGTTAGAAAATTTGTGTTTAGGCTCCTGAAGGTGCAGTGAGATGCTGTGATTTAATGCGCAGTTCAGTAATATCTGATAATTGCCATTCGCAAACATCGTTCAGTGATTTAACCGATTCCGATTTGCTAGAGATTGAAAACACGAGCATTCTTCATTCACTGGAGGTGAAGCATAGCAGGAGCTATATTCGGTCGGGAGGGTAATTCTTTTAGTCGAGATTTTTTTCGCAGTCATTTTCTTGTTTCATATAATGCGTATATACAAAAAATTTTAGATAATAAATAGTCATAATTTGAATATTAATTATTTTGTTAAGTATTAATAGAGAGGGAATGAGGCAACTGCTTTTTTAAAAAAAGATTATTAGGAATTTTAAACTCGTATTAGCTATTTCCCAGAAATTCTTGCAGTGACCATAATGTATTCCGCAATCATAGACCTGCGTCATGTATTATGACGCCGAAGTTACCACCAGCTTGTCAGCGGGAAACGGTTATTGTAAGAACGAACATCTATCCATTGGAAGTTGGAAATCGAACTGTGTATCGTTACGACGTGAGAATGTATGCGAACCGTGCGGATACATCGAAGGAACAAACCACAGACTTGTGCAAGGGCGACAGAGATGAGTATGCTTGAATGTCCTTCCATAGGGATTACGCTTCAAAATATGTTTTAGACGGTGAGGAAAATTTGTTTGGTTCCGAATGTTGAAATGCAATATCAATATTTTCTAAAATTTAAAGCTCATCTAACATTATATCGGATAATTGGCATGTAGTTAAGCTTGGAATTTCCAGTATTCTTTTTGCACTTAATTTTAGTAGTATTAAGTTATTATTACAGCTCTGGAATGATTGTACGTCATCAGAAGTGTATGCTGTTAATGAGACGTGTATTGGAATTATACCGCATTCTGAAAGATGGTGGTGCTTACTTGTATGATTTATCAAACACTTTATTCACTAATGAGCAGCTCAATAAAGAATTGGTAAATTTTTCTCATTAACTCAGTTTATTAATTTAAATTTTATCGTAATTTGAATTTAAAGCTTTTGCCTTGAGGCCCCAAGGCTGCTAAGCATTTGGATAGTCTAGTCCGAAATTTTTTCAGCTACCTCGCTTAAAGATATCGATGGAGCAGTTAACGCCAGAATTGCGTGATCTAATTGGTGCATGCGATGTTTTTATTGAAATAACGCCGTGTGCAGAAAGTGCTCATACATTCAATGTTAAAGATTATCGTGATTCAGTCACGAATGATTTGGCTCGTCAGGATCGCTCATTCAGACAGTTTTTTGAAATTCTCACAAATCATAGTGCTTTGCAAAAGTATGTGTTTTGATATTAAGTCAATCTATTATAATTCAAGGTCGCTTTCCTTTGCAATATGTTAATCAGGTTTTTTACGGCTTCTGCTGAGATTTTTGTGACACTGCCAAAAGTCAGTCAGGTAAAGACTGCGAAATAATTGTGTCATGTCCTACTAGATATAAGACTTGATGGCAGTTTCGTTGCACATTGGGTAGTCAGATGCATTTTCCAGAAGTGATTCTTTTAACTCGTTTGAATTAAATAGTGTGTCTCGTCATCGTCTTTTTATTTCTGTATCAAAGTTACATGTTATAGAACTTTATTTGGATTTGTGTATGTTTCAATTTAATTGAAATTATTTAACAAAAATTGAAGGGGAACGCACTATGCATTTGGTTGTGGTAAACTGTTTTTGGTGAATGGTAAGAAGTATAAACTTGAGAAACAGTCGTTGAGTGAGAGTAGAACTTTGGTCACTGGTATTGATAAGGGAATCCGTATTATCGAACGATCGAATGGCAGTATCATCCCAGCACTTGTCATTGACTGTATGATTCTTTTATTCTTTTGAAGTTGTCAATAAAATTTTCAGATGTTTGGATTCACAATAAAGTTTTTTGAGCTGTGAAGTGTAAAGTTCTTTTCAGTAAAAAAAGCTGCATTTTTTGACGCAGTTCCATTGGCGGATATGATCCATCAAGTATTGATGAAAAATGATTCGTGTTCCCCTATTCCTCCTCTGGATGCAAATCTTTTCAATCATTTTGTACGCAAACTAAACGATATTATTCGAGGTATAATTTTGGAAGAAGATACAGGCATTCGTTTGAGAAGAATCACTAAATTGTCACCACTCCTTGCAATGTTACTCTTGTATATAGGTGGAAAATTGTAAGAGTTTTTGAAGATAGATTGTTCGGCTAAATTTTTTTCAGATCTTCGATTGGAACATTCGAACTGCACCAATAAGTCATTCCTAGCATCTGGTTTGTCAGATAAACCCATTGGACAAATTAGGCATGCTCGTTCTTTTTCCCCTTCTGCGCTTCGCTTATATTTATCTGTTTTGCATAATTTTTGTGTTTAAAGTTATGTGCATTATAAAAACTTCTCATTAGCATTGCATTTCAGACTTTCAGTCGGCAAAAATGCGCCACTGATTCCAATGCTACAGTATTATAAACAGCGAGGTTATCGTATTCGGTATGCTTGTTCTCAAAACTTTTGCAGACTTCTATATTATATTGCAATGTGCCTTCTTGCTTAATTGAGTCTTCTTAAGTTGTATATTCAAATCACTTGTTCACCAATAAATAAAATTCTGAGCAATCATAAAAATGATTTATACTTATCGCCCCTGAAATCTTCGATTTAATATAAAATGTGTTTTTATGCAAGTTGCTGATCGAATTTGACAAAAATAAATTGTTTAAGGTCAGATTGGCCAGCTGTCCGTTTGATTACGAATTTCGGCACTTCATATTTTCCGATTGAAGTATTGCGAGTTGCACCCTGTCAGAGAGTACCAGTGAGCAAGCAGACATCGTCGCAGATGAAAGATACAATCAAAGTACAATTTATTTATGTTATAGGAGATGTAGGTGACGTAAATTTGAAATTGAGGAATAGTGAATTATGGGTTGCGAGTTTTTTTGAATGTTACTTCACAATACTGCACGCCATTGGAGAGCTGACATATAAATATTCTTTCTCTTGTGCTTGCATTTAGTCAGGTTCGTTGTTTTTAATGTGAAATAGGTTCCTTGCAGGAATGTGCTATGCTCCCGCACGCACGTTTCCGCGATATTGCTCGAAATTTACAGGCACTTGATTTAGATGAGGCAACTCATTACAATCCATTTATGGCCGCTTTTGGAGTACGAATTAGTTCAACTCCGATTACTGTAAGTTTTGCATTTTCTCCTAATCATCCAGTTAAGTTCTTTTTTGCCGGCCTTTCAACTAAATTAATTACAGGTTGAAGGTCACCGTCGCCTTGCACCGAAAGTCCAATATTTAGACACAGAAGGTGGGACAGGTGTCATCGACGTCGATACCAAAAATGTAAGAGAATTGTAACTTCAAGGTCTTTAAACTAAAAGAATTTTATGTGGATTTTGATCATATTTTGTTTTATTATAGGCGAACTGGCGAATGATTGGGAAGCAGTACTTGGTTGGGGCACGTCTTCGCTGTTGGTTTATACTTTACGATGACGCGAGAGATGGAGATATGGTTGTGTGAGTTATTCTTACATATGAAACTAAATTCATTATTTTGCTAAACAAGATTTTCAGTATATCAACTGCATCCGGGATCTACTGGTGATGAAGTTATCCGTAAAATTTTAGGGCATTTGCAAAAACTCTGGTTCGCGAATGTTGCAAGAAAGGTATACAGATGGTGGATCCTGTCATTAAAAATGTGCAATTTGAAGAACTGGAAACTTGTTTTAAGCAGATTCGTGAAACTTATCCGGATGAGCGAGCATTTGTGATGTATATTGACTCCCGTGATGATACGCATGGTTTCTGTTACCAGTCAAATATTTAATACACTTTATAAAACGGCTCGAGAAGAACCAATAATTTTAAAATTACATGAAATAGGGATTTTCTTACGCGAACTTAGGTGTCGTTGTAGTCTAAATAATGGCTTTATATTCAGAAATTGATTATTAATGCTTTCAGATAATTTAAAATTATATGAAGCTCTTCATCACATAGTCACACAGCATATACAAGGATCGAGGGCTCGTGAGGCACCGAAAAAAGTTGCGACTTTAGAAAATATCGTTAACAAGTTAAACTGCAAGAATTTCGGACAGTGTTATGGCGTTGTACCAGAATCATTTGCGTATGCTGTGCTCTTACTCGAAAGCCTACATTTTCCAAATTAGTTTTTGATTTGAATGTTGTAAATCAGCTTTATATATTTTATTGGTTGCATATGTTATTTAGAGCGTTTTCCAGAACTAACAAATGGATCTCCACTGGAAAAACCCTTATAATCGGTTACGACGTATGTCATCCAGATCCCCAGCCAAAACATGAAAGAAGAATGCGGATGCCACCCAGTCAGCCAAGTGTTCTTGGAGTTCGTACTACCATAATTGTTGGTAGTGTACTATAGCAATTAACAGGGTGGGGTACGAACGAATGACTAAATTCAACTCCACGAAGTGGATAAAATAACCATTGATTTTCAGATTAGTTTTAATGGAGCACCTTGTCCAGAAACATTCATTGGTGATTATTCATTCCAAGAACCTCGTAAAGAGCAAGTAACAGGTTCCATTTTGGAGGAACGGATTTACTGGATTTTGAGCCTCTTTTATGGCAGTCGTAATGGTATACTTCCCGAAACTGTTATTATCACTCGTGATGGCGTTTCTGAAGGGCAGTTCAAAATGGTGAGTCCTTAAGAACTTTGTTCATTTTATTGCTTTAAGGTGTGTGATTTGCTTATAAAAATATTTTGTGACATCTTGAGCTGCGGATCCATGCGTCTGAAATATTTAAGGTGATGGAAGACGAAATTGAAGCCATTCGTCAGGGAATGCGTAATTTTGGAAAAGCGGAAGCTGGGACTGATAATTACTCACCGAATATAGTATGCATCATTGCTTGCAAGAGGCATAACAAACGTTTTGCAATTGAGAATGGTTAATTTTACTTTTGAAAGTTTAAATAATTTTAATCAAAAATTATGAAACGTTGTATTGGCAAATTATTTCAATCATGTGTATCCAAATTTCAGGTCGCTTTTTGGAAAATTGTTTGCCGTTGACAGTGATTGACAGGGATATTACACGCCCAGATACCACGGAATTTTTCATGCAGTCACATAAAATCATAAAGGTCTTCCTTCTATTAGGAAATTTGGAGGATAAATTAGGTTAATGTAGGTCACGATGGCCGTAGTGTAGTGATAGGATTGAATTTCTCGTCTTACATAGAAATTTTCGTGAAATTTCAGGGTACTGGAAAGTTGCCTGCGTATTCAATGCCCATCAATGAAGCAAATTTAACCATGGACGAAGCACAGTCGCTGATGATGGCTTTGTGTTTTACTCATCAAATTGTTAATCAAGCAATTTCAATTCCAGAACCAATCTATCAGGCAGATGAGTGGGCTAAAAGAGGGCGTAACAATTTCAGGGCTATGTTGTAAGTTACTGAGTGGTGTTTCGCATTTAATGTCTTTTTAATAGTCAGAAGAGTTTTTGATCATCACTGAGTAGGGTTTTAAAAATAATCGGTAACCGTTGCTTATGTGTGTTTAATTATGCACACTGCTAATTCATTTACTTTAATTTCCGGTTTAGGCGCTTAAAATTGGGAAAATGGAGAGACCATATGAATTAATATTTATGCTCTAGGCGGCGTGTTGGTGGTAAGGAGCGTTTACCAACATTGGAGTGTGGAAGCGTTGACTGGAATCGCGTCACACGACGCCTTTGTTATATGGATACTGGACTGGAATTGACACGAGCAAATGCATAAGAAAGAAATTGATGTCTTTCACTACTTGGATTTAAATTTGCTTTTGAGAAAGATTTTTCGTGCCAATACTGTTATTATAATTCTGCCTTTTATTGTCAGTAGTGCAATGACATCTCCTTTTCATGTTTTCCTTATCATCTCTTTTTATTATCTCATCCATCGCTTTTATTGAGATTGAAAGGATCGCGTTATAATTTTTAAAGCGCATCCTAACATTCATTTTCCTTTGTGCTTTCGGATCCAAACGTATTATTGCTATTTTTTTTCTATCTGAAAAACAAAATGCCATGTTTTAGTGATGTTCCATTAAATATTGTCCTTTACTGTTATGCTTTTGGTAATAAGAGTTTATGCGATTTAAATTAGAATTCTACAAATTTTTGTAGAAGAAATTTCTTATCTGTCTCTCTACATGACTTATGTTGCTAACGCACTTGAATCTTCATTTTATTGGAAAGAAATTCGTATTTTAATTCCATTGCCCTTCAGTATCGTTGTATTTGAACAACGCTGAATAAATAAGGGAATTTTATAGCCTTGAATTTTGTATTTCGATAGGTTGATGAGAGATGTATTTCCGGTAAAGTGAAAGGGGGCGAGTCTGCCACGAAGCGACTGATTTTATGCAGCTCTTAATTGCTATATCCTTTATATCATGGAGGAAGTGTAGGGAGTTGACAAACTTTACGTCTACGGAGTATCCCCGAATTCGTACTTCTTGGGTTGAACCGTGGGTGTGTGTGCCTGACTCTACATGCTGATGTAAATTCGTTGTTTTCATAACGACCCGGAAAGCGTGACACAGGGTTGGTATAGATGGTATTCTACTTTAGGCGCTCTAGAGGAGGGTTCGGGAGGATGTGAAATGAGGGTGGAGTTGTGACAAGGGGCGATTTCGGGAAAGAGTGTGGGAGGTTGAGTTTGTGATGCTGATCATTTTTCGCGAACTTGTGGTTCGGTCTTTCCCGACAACACCAATATCATAAGATCATTATACTCTCTTTCAGGGCTAAATGATGGATGATTTCGAAGAGATACCGGGTAATAAGCCGCTCCGGTTACCAAAGAAAGCGGCTAAAGTGAAAAATAAAGTATGTCATTATGGAAAGCAAATTCTTCAATGAATGCTTCAGTTTTACTTTCAGTTCTTGATATGAATTGGATGTATAAATTAGTAAAAATTTTGCTTTCCTCGCAGTCAGTGACTGAGTTTCTACTTTTACAGTCGATTGGTTATTTGTATTTAATAGTTGCTGATAGATTTTCCACTTCAAGTTTTAACCAAAGAAATTGTGATGATTTGGTTTATTTATTTGTTTACACTTGTAAATTCAGACGTTCACTACATTTTTATCAATACTTTCAGGCTCCAGCAGCTCTTCAAATAACAGCGGAGCAATTGTTACGTGAAGCAAAAGAACGTGACCTAGAAATTGTTGCGCCACCACCAAAAACTAAAATATCTGATCCGGAGGAGCTAGCCGAGTATCAGAGGAAACGTAGGTACGTGTCGAAAAAGTTACCATCAAATTACACGTTTCGTTTCGTAGAAAATATTGTTTTAAATATAATCATAAGGAAATGAAATATCAAATTCAGTTAAAGTTTCGGACCTTTGAGTTTAAAATTGTTCGAAATTTTATTGCTGTTACTGATCAAGTATGGAACATATGGGAAAGTCAAATTTTTAGTGCATTTTCAGAAAGGAATTCGAAGATAACATCCGTAAAAATCGTTCACAGATAGCAAACTGGGTAAAATATGCGAAATGGGAAGAAAATATAGGTGAAATGCAAAGGGCCCGTTCAGTGTTTGAACGTGCACTTGATACTGATCATCGTTCTATCACGCTGTGGCTACAATACGCAGAGATGGAAATGAGGCAAGTTCTGCGTTTCTTTCAGGGTAGCAGCTTAGCTGAACCTGATGTAAAAAGCCTGCTATCTGTCATTGCTGATTGTATTAAAGTAGTTGTGGAATAGACATAGTTTTTATGAAGTTTTAGGAACAAACAAATTAATCATGCGCGAAACATTTGGGATAGAGCAATCACTATTCTGCCTCGAGCTACGCAATTCTGGTTGAAATACTCTTACATGGAAGAATTGGTCGGAAATATACCTGGTGCAAGACAAGTAAGAGTCTTTATGTTTTAGTCGGAATGAATGCCCCATTTTATTTATTCAGAATTGTTACTAACAAATATTCATTAATAGGTTCATGAAAATGGATGAGGACAAACTTACTTGTATCCATAATCAATAACAGAAGTTCCATATGGTCCCATACTTTATACAATTTAGCTTAGGTCTTCGAACGGTGGATGGAATGGGAGCCACCAGAGCAAGCTTGGCAAACATACGTTAATTTCGAGCTGCGCTACAAAGAAATCGATCGTGCACGTACTATATGGCAGCGTTTTCTTCACGTTCACGGACATGATGTGAAACAGTGGTTACGTTATGCGAAGTTCGAAGAAAGATTCGGGTACATTGGAAATGCTCGTGCTGTAAGTGTTTTTGTGTAGATCGCAAATTCTCATTCCACTGTTTGAAAACTGTGGTTTCTGATGACAAAAAATGACTAAGGAAAGTGCACAGTAGCATGTTTTGGTTTGGACCAGTAATTGTTTAACAAGTGTATAGCTCAAATCGATATGTAATTTACACACAAAAGTTCACTGAGTTTAATTTCATGCAAATTCAAGGTAAAATCAAAGTAGTATGCTCAAAATCATGCAATATTGTTACTTTCTTTACAAATTGATGGTACAGGTTTATGAGCGAGCATTGGAATATTTTGGAGAGGAAAATTTAAGTGAAACTTTGTTGATTGCATTTGCCCAGTTTGAAGAACGACAGAAGGAACACGAAAGATCAAGAGTTATCTACAGGTATTTTAACCGTAATTTTTTAAAAAATTTTCACTTTTTATTTAGTGTGTGGGGAGTGCAATTATTGTTCTTATGTCGGGTTAGTGGGTAGCAGTAAATTTAGATATTATACGATTGATTGATTTTAGGCCAGCCAAAATTAAAAGTGAATTTGCCCCTTGGCTGAATCATTCCTGTGGTTTGCAGATATGGATTGGACCATCTTCCGGCTGATCGGACTGGTGAAATATTCAAATTCTATACCATACACGAGAAAAAATATGGTGAGAGGGCGGGAATCGAAAATGTAATTGTTAGTAAGCGTCGCCATCAATATGAAGAGGTAAATTTTCTTAAATTTCTTGAGAACTGTAAAAATAGTGGTACTTGACGTTTTTTTTATATATCCTTGCTTTTATAAAACAAGTTTTCGACGTAACAGATAAGGTTTTTTTGAAATTACTGGTTGTACCCCCAATACAACTGGTCTATTTCAGCAAATTGCTGAAAATTCGTATAATTACGATGCATGGTTTGATTATATACGTTTGTTGCAAAATGAGAAAATTCATCATGAAGAGATGGAAGATACATTTGAGAGAGCTATAGCTAATGTACCTCTACAACCTGAAAAGAGGTATTTCTTAATTTATTTGGTAATTTGAGTAAACCGTGATATAGATATGAATCCAGTAGATTATGGACTGCAGTTGGAAAATGTGGTAAGTTACTTTTATTTGGAAAATTTATCTATTTTTTGGACAACAGTAAGGTAGAAGACGTTATTATGGTAGCCATTCAGGTAAAATATTTGGTAAATATAAAATTTATAATGCATGAAATTTTTTTTACAAACAATTTTAACAATGCAGTCAACTTTTTCGTCAAAATTGTCGCTTTCTGTTGGGCAGGTATTGGCGGCGATATATTTATTTGTGGATTAATTACGCGCTTTACGAAGAATTGGATGTTGGTGACATGGGGAAAACACGAGATATTTATAGAGTTTGCCTTCAAGTGATTCCTCACAAGAAATTCACTTTTTCAAAGATATGGGTGATGTTTGCTTATTTCGAAGTGCGACAACTTCGCTTATCTGATGCACGTAAAATAATGGTGTGTTTCAAAATGGTTTTTAGGAATCCTTCATCTGAAATCAAATTTGATTTTGTAGAGTTAGAGTAAATGCTATAAGGAATAAGTCAATTGATTTGAAGTGAAATTTCGAATTAATAAGATTCGTTGAAGTATTTTTAATTAATATGCAAAAATGCTACTTTGCTCAAAGAATTATATTTTTATGATTAAGAATGGGCAGTTATAGGGAAATGCAATTGGAATGTGTCCTCGAAATAAACTTTTCCGAAGTTACATAGATCTTGAATTGCAACTACGTGAATTTGATCGGTGTCGCATTTTATATGGAAAGTTTCTGGAATACGCTCCGGAAAACAGTAATACTTGGATTAAATTCGCAGAAATGGAAACGCTTCTCGGCGACGTTGACCGCGCACGCGCAATTTTCGCCTTGGCTGTCCAACAGCCTGCATTAGATATGCCTGAGGTTTGTTCATAAATTACCGCCTTCAAATTTGGAAAGTGGTCTTGCAGAAATAGAATGGGTTTTGGAAATATTTCAGATTTTCAATTAAAGTTTATTGTAGGTTTTATGGAAAGCCTATATTGATTTCGAAGTGAGTCAAGAAGAATACGGTCGAGCTCGACAGTTGTATAGTAGTCTTTTGGAGCGGACGAACCATATAAAAGTTATTTTTCGATTTTTTAACTACTTACTTCTGATAAGATTTTTTCAGGAAAGTTCAACTTCAAATCTTTCTTCCATCATGCCTCATCCCTCTTTATTTGGCTTTGGGTTTAAAAATTGGAAAGATAGTCAACAAAAAATATTAATAAATTTAGTTCAGCTCCGGTTCTTCAAAAAAGAAAAAAAATTTCACAGTAGCGGTGAATAGAGTTCCCTGCTTTACAATTCTTTCAGGTGTGGATAAGTTTAGCGGAATTTGAATTATTAGTAGGTGATGTGGAGGGCGCACGCAAAACATACGAACGCGCTAATAGGAATCTAGTAAGTAGTGAAAAAGAAGAAAGGTTGTTGCTTCTCGAATCATGGATGTTGTTTGAAACTAAACACGGCAATGAGGATTCTGTAGCGGCGGTGAGCAATTTTATTGATTTCGAGAGTATTTATAAATAACATATTCATTTGTACAGCTAATCTAAACTAGTCGATTAAGTTACGATCTCTGTTTAGCTTTAGATTCATGCTTCGTACATTTATTTCAAGAAATTTGTGCCATTTACGTCTTTTAGCTTTCTCAATCAAAACCATTTTAAAGAGAGGAATTTTTTATCTGTATCAGAACCATCGTTAGCGTGTTTTTTGCCGTGACTGTCCAAGGGGCAGGCCGTGACTACGGTTAACTATGGTTTATCTTAGAAATACCTCATTTTTAGTTCTATATGGTCCACTCATATCTTAATGTTGTTGATGACATACAACATATGTTATCGTACTTCATCTATTTTGAGCTTACAATAGAATTTGAACAGCTACCATATAAATTATTGTACATTAGTGTAATGGAAAGAAAATCAAGGGATAAGGCTTATCATCTATTAAACTTGTCGTTTCCTTGTATAAACAAGGAGAGCTTGTTCCACGGAATCCTCTATGTGACTTTAAAATCTTTCATTTTTATCCACATCTGACTTCTTATTGTTCTTGATCAAAATTTATAAAACATGAAAATAATTTCCCAGGTTTCTCGTCTAATGCCAAAAAAAGTGAAAAGACGTCGTCAGATCCAGACCGAGGATGGTGTGGATGCTGGTTGGGAGGAATATTTCGATTATGTATTTCCAGACGAACAAAGTAATCTTGATTCCAAATATTTTTTAATATTCAAATGTATCGTTTTCTTGCGTTGTTATATCACATGATCAAAAATTGCCAATCGTTTCATTGTCCTTATTCTAGCTTCAAAAGGCACCATGAAATTGTTCGAAGCTGCTCGAAGATGGAAGGAGAAACTTACACAAGTAGCTCTATCAATTGAAAAAGACGTTGACAAAGATGTGGAAGACAGTGATATCAAAGAAGAGGCAACAGAAAGAGAGATGAAAGTGCGTGAGAATGATTCAGATACTGACATATCATCGACATCCTCCTCGTCATCGTCAGATAGTGATTCTGAATCAAGTTATGAAACAGAGGATAGTGATTCGGATTCAAATTCTGAAAATCTTGAATACGTGCGCAAGAAAGAATAGAAAGATAGGGGTTAATGGTTGTTTTCATTGCTGCGATCTTTTGACTTTCAGTGTTTTATTTTTGGTGAAATGTTTGTATATATCAGTCGAATTTTGCATGTATCCGAGAAAAATGAAGTGAAAATTTTTTTGCATCTGCTCTGTTTTTTAAATTTGCTTACAATTTTTCATAGATTTATCTCGCTATTCGATAAAATAAATTCATATTCAGGTCAGATTTTTGTAGGATTGATTTTCTTCGTATATTTTAAAAATAGTTTGGCGGGTTTTATGCCCATCTAATTTTTCCTAAATTCTTTGGCGTGACAGTTTTACCAAGCCAGGTATAATAAATTTTCATGTTTTACTAAGCCAGCTTACAATAAATCTTCATACAAAAATCCTTACTTTACTGGTTTTATCTTTTGTAATTAGCAATATGGGTTTATTTATTTTGGAATGATTGAAAATTATGGTTTTTCCAATTCTGGAAAAAGTTGGTTATTGAGGCCAGTCTCCGGCAATCGCATTTCAATTACTTAGCCGAAGGTTACTGAATTCTTTATGATGTTAAACTCGCTGCGATGGTTATGTTAGCTTAAATCTAGCAGGTTTGTATAACTTTTGACGTATTAGTCGAAGAATGCAGAGTATTATACGTGGGATTGTTCAATTTTTTGCAGCTGAAAAGTAGTTTTTTCCAATCATTAATTTCCCTTCGTTAAATATTTGCTCCTGCTTCACTGACTGATTATTGGATTATATGTGTTGAATGTATGCGCTGTATAAAGACTTTGTTTTTGCTCCTGATATTTTCAATGTTAAACTACTGATCTCGATTGAAGTAATTTGGGATTTAGAAATCTAAGATTGTCTGATATTTGGGAATAAAGCTTAAGTGTTTTACTCCATGGCAAAATCGTCAGCTTCTTGATTCTCATTTCACTAGTCCAACATAGGAACTGAAATATAAATGGTATGCAGCAAAGCAGTGAATATTGGTTCCTTCTGTCATTTTGTTCAGTTTTTTGGTGGTTCTCTGAAGATGACAGATGAGGAAAATGCGCAGAAACAGTGAAGATCATCTGTCGTATCGGTAGGTTTTTGCATAATCTTGCACAGTTAATCGGATTGCTTTGCATTTGCTGGGAAAAGGAAGTAGGACGTCAGTTAACGTCGATATAAACAAAAGTGCATCTTATTGATGTGAAGGCTAGGAGTGGCAGCAAATATTGTTGGTGAACTGACTGAGAAGGAACTGACCAAGAATTGGTTAACCTATTCTGTGGTTTTTTGAGAGGCTAGACTTGATACCGACTAATTTTTCCTTTTTTTTTTGAAAATCACGGTGGTTGTAAAAATTTAAGCAATCATGTTGACTTTACACCTCGTGTTTTGCTGTTTCGTAGTTAGCATTGAATTTTTTTTTGCATCACAGAACCAATTTCCTGTTCCGAGTAATCTTATTAGGTAGCCCTTATTGTAAAAATTATTTCGTAATTCAAAAAAGATTTGTATCATAGGGATGAATTTTAATTCACTTTTAATGGTTAGATAAATAATAAAGTCTATGTAAGGAATAGAAGAAAGAGTGGATGCTTGGTTTATTGCTGTTCTCAAAGCAGATTTGAGTGGTAGAACAACTTTTCAGTGAGGAGTGTCCGAATGAGTGTTCCGGAATGAAGTATTTTTTATGGACTAGGGAGTGCTTCGCTTTTCCCAGTTCAGTTTTCATTTGAACTGCAAATTCTCTTATCTGTTAAAACTGTTGCTTAACTGTTTCTTTCCTTCTCCTTTTAGACTTGAAATAAATTGCAGCGAAGAATATAAGTACAATAAGGCACTTGCTTATTCTTTTCCTTTCGGTCTACCAACATATTCATTAAAAGGCACAGCTGTAGTTGCTCGAATTTAGATTTAAACTTTTGCAAATAAGTTAAAGATTTATATTATAAGTAATTATTTAATATATATTTCAAATTTCTGTTAAAAGTTGTCGGAAAGAAAATTCAGAAAAGTCTCTTGCTTGTTTTTAAGTTTTTATTGGTTTTTGAAAGGAGTGAATTAATGGCAGATTGAGAGATCTAACAGCTGGGTTTTTAGTATCACTAAATTTCTCACTTGTTTTGTCGTAGTATTTGACACCGTTCATCAAGAATCAAAGCAATGAAGTAGTGACATTGCTTCTATTACAATATCGGGATTATAAGCAAATATGAAAGTTATACATATGAAATCTTATGCTCATCTCAGGTCTTCAAGCTTATTTTTTTGGGTACATATGAACATTACATAGCAGAAATTATTGAATGCAGTACAAAAAAATTCCTTATTAACAATGTCAGCTACTTTTAGTTGAAAGATGAAATGATATATTCAAATAACTAAACCGTGATTGATTCCTGCCCGGTATGACACCTGACCAAGAAAGTGACTACTAAGATAGTGTAATCGTAAAAATCAAATCTAAAACTAATAATAGAAGTAAAGCCGGGATTGCCACTCCAGTTATACAATGTTTCATCCAACTATTTTAATGGTTTTCTTCCGCCAATTATATGAAATTCTTTTTTAGCTATGCTGGCATTGTATTTAAATGACTTTTGGCTCATTCGGTTTTTCTTCATTCTCTTGAGTTATGGCACTGTTTCGATTCCTGTAGTTCTATTGGTTATTTATGTTCGTCGAAAAACTACCGGTAAGGTATTTTTCGATGTTTTTTTTTTTAATTTTATAAGTATGTCACTGCATATTGGTTTATAATGAAGTAATATAAATTATTATTGTCCGATAGATTATTACAAAACTCTTGCACTTAGTAAGCTTTATTCCAGAAGGTAGTTTCGAGTCTGCAACACTGTTTCATTCATTTCTACAAAGGTTTGCTCTTGGAAAACCTGAATATGAATTGATTATTTCCGACTCTGTAAAATTGACTTCAGTCGTTTCGCGGAAAAAGAATCTCCGCAATGATACTTTCCATCTTATTTTATGCTTTTCAAGTCTTCAAGCTACTCTTGTTTCAATGGGTTATATTCAAGAACGGATTATGACACAGGTTCTTAAATTTTATTGTCATAGTTTAATTTTTTGGTTTAATGCTAATTCACAACATATCACTTGGATTGATATTTTTGAGCCTCTAATTGATCCCCGTGGAATTTTTTGCAGAAGTTGACTACTCAACACATCAATTTTTGCTTTCAGCATAAATATGTTTTCTGCATAAATTGCAAAGATTTGTATGAAGTGCATTATTAAAAATAAAAGGTATTTGATGAAAAAATAGGTAGCTAAAGATGTTCTTTTAAAATGACTTCTTTCTGGATGTTACTGAAATATTTTTCAGATATTAAGGTTGGAAGAATTATTTTTATTCTAGGCTTACTTATCAACTGTGGATAATCAGCTAAACAAATTTGAAAATACACAATTTCTTGTTTTCATGAATCGTGTTTTTGCCATTGTCCTATGTGCAGCTTACTTAACTTCGAATTGGAAAAGGTTTTTCCGTAATTTGTCTTTCGGAAATTTCACGGAATTCATTGAATAGTTTCTTACGATTTAGAAATAATTTATAACAAATAAGAATAAAAGAGACAAAAGCCATAGGGCTGTGATAATTGACAAATTATGAACATAAAAGTCAATAGTGAGACTAATATATTACAGAGAACCTCCCCATATTCCACCGTTTTATAAGCATTCGTTCACGTCGTTTTCCAATACACTTTCATCCTGGTGCCAATACGAGGCACTGAAATTTGTTTCATTTCCAACTCAGGTACTTTTCAGAAATTAGTGACGCTCAAATAAAAAGATGATGAACAACTATAAGCTTTTGATATAAAAATAGCCCATCAAATGTGCCGGAAAAGGGAAATCTTTAGTAGGATTTGGGAGTTATCAACTTTCTTGTGATTAAAATTTTTTAAATACAGTATTTTGAGACAGTATGCAAAGCATCGAAAGTGCTGCCAACGATGTTGATGGGGTTCGTTGTCAGAGGTGAGCGTTATAAATATGGCGAGTGCGCTTGTGCTGCTATGCTTGCATTTGGAGCGTCATTATTTCTTCTGTCAAACTCTAAGGGACTTGGATCCTATGGTATTGTTTAAAACATATTTGATAGTAGTGATGGAAAGAGAAAAAAACAAGTGATTGAACAGGTGCCGATAGTTCCAAAAAATTGATATAATAAGCAAACGATTTATTCTGAAAATGGATAAGCTTATTTTATTTTATGGCTTTCTAAAAATAGAAATGTGAAGTGATAAAGTAGAAAATCGAAACAGGAAGTGAATGAGTGAAAAGATTCAGTCGGTAGCATGAACTTTGCCAACTTTTGTGAAATACCTTGCTGTTTCTGTCGTAAATACAAAAAAAAACTTTATGAGATCAGTTTGCTGGTTTATGCTGAACACTTCATTTTCTTAATTCTTTTTCAAAGCGTATGCGGGCAAAGCGATAATTTCCTCATATTGTAGCGGTTTTATCTTCTGATCGTGTGACTACTGTTTCTGGGATTTGTTTGATGTCTGGTTATCTTTTATTTGATGCTTTCACTTTGAATTGGCAAAAGAAACTCTTTGATGTTCGTCCACGAGTTTCCAGATACCAGGTTTTCTAATGAAATAATTCTCTTTGATGAAAGGTCATAAAATCATTAACTTTTATTAATCGAATGTTGAGGATTGACATAATATGTGATCATGAGTTTCATTTTTTTAGTTTTCATTGCGTTAAGAAGTGATGTTGTATTGTTGAATGATATTCAATAAACTCCACTAAGAAAGACTTTTGAAAATAAATAAAGAATCGAAGTTGTGCAGTAACATTTTCTTTTAAATGAAAAATTACTATAATAAATGCAATCATTCTGTTTGTCAATCGTATTCATTCATTTATCTTTCTTCAGATGATGTTTGGCGTAAATATCTTTAGCATGATGTTGTGCTTTGTAACGCTTGTCGAGGAAGGAACGTTTTTGTCACCATTCCGTTTTCTAGTCACCCACGAAGGGTTTGGCCGTGATATATTTTTATTGTCTTTGTCAAGCGCTTTAGGACAGGTTTATAAATCTTTTTTAAAGAAAATGAAAGAGAATAAGGGTAAATTTATATCTGGTTACTCGTCGCACTTGAAATACTTTTGTCGTTCATTGGTTCAATACTTCGGGAAATGAAAGGGTCATCTGAAACTCCATACTACTTTTTTAGAATTATTTGTATCTTAATTTCTTTATTACCTTACGGGAGCCATTTACATTAAAACGTAATTTTAAAAATCACTGATTTTTTCCAAATTTGTTAACTTAGTGTGGTTTTTCTCGCTACATCCTTATTGCTTTATTGGAATTGCTTAAGTAATTCTATCTATATTTTCTTTAGATGATTATTCTAGTTTGTTAAATTCACTGCGTGACCTCTATGCTTGAGGCATAACTTTTCAAGTCATTAAGATTTGAATTCTTGTTTTTTGAGGAGTTAGTATTATGAAATTTTTTTCAGGTTGCAATTTATATGACCATTGAACGATTTGGCCCTGTGATATTTACGGCTATGATGACACTACGGCAGATACTTTCCATATTACTTTCAGTTGTGGCTTATGATCACCCGATATCTGTTTGGTCTATATTTGGCTTGTTGATAACATTCACTGCAATTTTTGGCACTATTTATATTCGGCATCATAAGACTTTACAGACTTGACATTGAATTTTGTATTACTCAATTTGAAATTTAAAGCTTATAACAACTACTGGGGGTAAGTTGGGTTATGTTTTTGAAAGTCGAATTTTTTTTTCTTATGTTAAAATCTGGAGTGGCTCCATTTCATTTTTGATTATTTAGTGTGCTAGGGAGAATAAGCGCTGATGATGTAATTGGTGAAAATTGTATTAGTTTTAATATTGTTTTTTTTTTCTCAAACCGAAACAAAAAATTCATTTACCATAAGGCAAAAAAAAACTCTACCTTCCCAGTTCCAGATGAGAGAACTTTTAATGTTAATCCTTTTCATTTGTTTTATATTTTCATTGGTTTGAAATTTATTAAATTTATCTGATCTATATGGCATATCAGACTTTTTTCAGGTCCGGGATTAAAGGTCTTGCCCTTTGTCTTGGTTTGGTTCTGACCAATAATTAATTTATTATTCTAATTTATCATATAATTTTAACTTATATTTCCAATTTGCACCATAAATACTTTTTCCGTTGGTATCTCTTTCATTTTTTCATATCATATTCATGCCTTATATTTTATTAAATGATAGAATCCCGAGCCAATTCTGGAAATCTATGCGCAGGTGAAAAAAGAGTATCTTACACTCCCACCATTCATGAATTCAGCTAGCAAGAAACTCTCAACTCCATTGGAAGTCACAATTTTGGAGGCAAGTAACATTTCAAAGAAAACGAGTTTCGAATAAATATGAATAAACAATCGTATGAAAACATGGCCTCAATTTTCCCACATCTTATATGTGTTGAGAAAATCGCGAATTAAATTGACTTTTAAATGTTGATTCCATATGAGCCCCTCCGACTGTATTTTTTAGTTTCAACACTATTCAGAACTTTAACCTGGAACCACGACAGCCAGATCAGCTCGATGGACGTTACACTAAATGTTATTTCAAATTATTTCAAAACATACAGAATAATAAATAGTGATGGAGATCGCTTGTAAAATGAGAACCTTGGATCGTAAAAAAAGTGGGACAAAAGAAGACAGTGGGAATTCTATAGGAAGACTAGGACAGATATCTCAAATTCCTTTGAAAGCTGATTTTTATACCTCAATTTTCAGTTCCATGGAGAATCTAAATAAAAATCAATACAGTGGAAGAATTGCATAAACTGAACAAGACATGAATACATTCCATTCCGGGCGCGAAAAGATATAAAAGAATTGCAAATTTTCAAAATACGAAAAGAAGTATAAAGTACATTAAAAATAGTTGATGATGTCTCTAGAAAGATTCTTCCAAGTAACAAGATGTTTAGCAAGAAGGGAGGACTCTCAATGGCTGTCATTAATTTCAATTACTAAGTCGATAAATTTCACTGCTTTAGTGAACCCAGCCAGAAATCCTACAGTTTCGTAGCATTCTGCGTTAACTTTAACTCCTAAGATTGGTTTAATTTCCTATTAATCAAATAAATGGCACTATACAAGAAATATTATCACAACACCTGCACTTTAGTATTTGCTATCACAAAGGTGACTGTGGCAAAGATAAAAAATGACAATGAAAGCAAATAAAAGTGCGCAGCTACATATTAAATTTTGCAATTTTATTTTATATGATTTAAAGTTATTATAAAAATCCAAAAAAAATGCGAGATTCGTTTACGGACGAGAAGCTCCCGTATCATAGTCTTTCTAACTACGCCTTAGAATTAAAGCTTCAAACTATTTTGATGATATAATTTTTTCGACCAAGAAAAATCAACCCATTGAACTCATACTGCAAGGATTAAACAGTTAGTGAAACAAAAAGTTGCTGATGAGAAAAATCAACACAAATATCAGAACTGATGTTTCTTCATTGAAACGACTAAGCTACTTTGTAGTAAGAGACCAGTATTAGCCAGCCAGAGTACTCTCATGCCCAGTAAGTATACATAAATCACACAAATCTCCGGCTGCAGATGTTTCTCTCCGTTTTAAAACTACCAATCTGGAAGTATATTTAACTTTCATTGTTTGGAGAATTGATTTATTCTAATGATTGCAATAAAGTAATAATAATCAAATTCAAAAGTTAGATATGCCACATGCTTTCTTAGTCATCAATGTGTTCTTTTATTACTGTGCGGATAGCAATATCGCCCTTTTTTGCCTACGTCAATCTCACAAAAACTTACTTATCGCTTCCTACAACTTGATATACATTATTCGGATCATTGATATCTTGTGTAATTGAACCATCAACAAACGCGCGACCCTGAAATTAAATAATATAAGAACTTTTCCATCATTTTCACTAATTCCACTACTTTCTTATATAGCTCTTCCCTCATTTTACATTTTCATTACAACTCCAACTCTTATGTTCGCTAAAAGCGATGAACATTTCAATTTTATTTCAATACCTGTACGCCATGTGGATAAAAAGCAAGAATTGAATCAGAGAGCGAAACAAGATTTTCAATTTGAAAACCAAATTTGAATTGTGCTGGCGAAAGGCGAGATGATTTCACAACTCCGTTTTGATTAATCACAACACATCGATTTTCATAACACAATAATAATGCATCCTAAATATTTCTTTCAGGAAAAAAGTGAACTCCAAAAATAATAATAAAATAACCCTTTTAAGAAAACAATATTATCAGAGCAGTAAACATTTTTGCCAAGTGGCAAATCACTCATGAATGACTCCAATGAACCTTGCTGTTCAAAGCTTCAATCAGTTTCAAAACGTAATATAAATCTGCACAATAAAAAAAAAACTTACTCTGTTGACTTGTTTTAATGCTACAACATTAAGACAAACTGCTTCTGTTCGATCCTGTCCATCCAAATCACAATGCACATTTTCGTCATTAAAATTTACATAATGGAGGTGAAATTTACGTCCTACCCCTTTGTATACTGCCAAACAAACCTATAGATGAAACGAAACGCATGTATTGTCGAATAAAATAATTTCTTGATTTACGACCGAATTTTCATTTTTTTACAACAAAAATATTAAAAAAATGTTCCATGAAATCATTTGGTTTTCATTTTTGAAATCATTTTTGAAACCATACTTTCGGAAAGTCAGAATCTGTTCCCGCAGAGTATATCAACTGAAACGGTCGAAGCGGGAGATGAGGAATGCGCATCTCGACTGTTTTCAGCATTAGAAATTTAGCCAATGGTTCGTACCATTGGAATAATATTACAGCAGACGGCGTTGCGCAACAAAGGTATACATTACCATTTACACCACTTCGAGCTACATTGCAGTGGATAACATCTCTATAAGTTAGTCACTGCATACTTGGGAAGAATTCTGCAGACTTGGAAACAAGGTGTCGTAAACGTTTTGTAAATTTCTCAAAAATTTGAAATTTGAATTTTCAATCGAAATTTGAAAATTTTCAAATCACACATGAACAAAAGCGGTCTCTGTAACTGATGATAACATTTAAATAAAAATCATGATTCAAATACATGCCTCGTTTCGGGTAAACGCGTGGTTATAGCAAGTTTCTTTGGTAGGTACTTCTCAGGAATTTTATTCATCGGTTTTGATATCCTCTGTGTAAGATTTCGCTGTGATAAAGCAACTAAATCGTGACGATAAAGGTAGGGAGTTCTTCCTAAAATTTTACCTTAAAAATTTCAAAGACTCAGCAAATGAATTCTTTGTTGACCATATCAATTTTCGTACTGTAGTAACCTTTTTTTACTCGATCTAGCTTCTGCGAATAAATGTCGCTGTATCAAAACAAAGTGCAACTCTTCAACTTCATTTTGAAGCAATAAATAGTCAAAAACTCAATGAAAAGCCACACCTTGCACAGCCATCAGAATATTTTTCTGCACATACAACCATGAACAACGCCGTTTGTGTATCAAAACCATTGCTGCCTCATGTAATTCATCCATGTCTAAGGTGAAAATTCCTTCTTCTGCGCCAATCAACAAAAACTGTCGTGAAGTATTGGGATGAATCCATGTTGCAGTACTATTTATATGTAACGGACAATCATGGAATACAAGCGAAAAACATGCACCCATAGCGACCTGTACAAATTATGAGCTTTAAAAAATATAGGGTTGACTTTTTTCGTTTGAAATCTGCTCAGTCAGTTTTTCGAAGTTCACTAAACAGATTTCAAATGATGAATTTCTTGATTTAATAGTTATGTTTCAATTTATATTGCAACAAAATACCTTCGGTGTTGGTGGCAATCCGAAACAGGTCTGAGGTCGTTGAAGAGCATAACTTGCACAGCCATTAATCCGATGCCTAACTTGCTCGTTTAAATATGGATCGGAATGTGGTAGTTCGAGCGATGAGCATCGCTTTATTGGCTGTTTAGTACGTGGCGGACGTTGGGGTACAAAAAAATCGGAACCCGAAGAACCTAAAGTGACACTGCAGTTGGATCTCAAAATCACCATCATTATTAGCGAAAAAAGTAATCGAGTTTTAGGTCAGACTTTCATATTTCGATTTTGGAATTTCTCCGTTTCCAACCCATGTCATAGTTGTCCTTAGTAGGTAATGAGATAGAAATAGAAAAAGAACGACTTAGGAAAGTACTAATGAACAGTCTAATGAACCAGTTTAAAAAAATTACCATTAATCTGTTCTGACGAACAAAAGGTTCCATCATCTATATCATGTATAACGCCATCATTATCATTAAGCAACGACAAGGCTTGCACAACATCTGGTAATGGTGGATGTTCCTTGGCAGGAAGTGTACGATCCTTAAACACAAACGGAAAATTACATGTACTGATAAATCTTATAAAGAATGTATTACAATTGCTACTGCTTTAACTCCAAACTGTAATGAAAAACAAACCTCGTGATAACGTCGGCCTAAATTCGCTACGGAGACTTCAGAAGTTGATGGCTCTCCCCAAATTCGTGCCATAAGTGCATTTGCATCGTCACACACACGTATTGCGTCCCGCGCAACACGCGGACACGCACGACCACGTGATTTAATTCGCGATATTGTCATTATCTCGCCCTAAATAAGCTAAGAGAAAGAGTTATTACACTTCAAAGACAGATACTAAATCATTAAATACCATAAAAAGAATAAAAGCAACATTAAATAGCTAATTAAAATAAACCTCGTCGTCACCATCCGTAGACACTGCGGAAAATTGTCGAGCAAATATGGAAGCGGAAGCTACGCCACCAGGATTGTTAACTTTATCCAGCAAATCGCGCGTCATTCGAGAGGAAAGCGCACCAAGGACAAAGTGGTGACTCTAAATGGGGAATGAATTCAAATCTGGATTTAAAGACAGCTATGAAATCTTGAAGGAACTAAAAGTTGTCCCTTAGCATGCCAAAATAACGAAAAATTGCTTCACTCATTAATTTTTGAAATCATACAGCTAAGAGCTTTTCTGGAGTTGGCCTCTTTTTCGGATTTTTCGTTAAACACTGTTTAATGAAATCGTGGAAGAATGGTGACCTGAAAGACATTAGTAACAGTGAGATCGTGATACAGATATCGCAGAATGTTAATTCAAATCATTCATAAGTAAATTGGTAAGATCGCAACCACTGCTCCTGCGAATGGAATTATATGACAAAAGGACTTACAAGTCTTTCTTTAAGAGCTAATTCAAAATTATGACGATTCACACATCAACTTTTGGGAGACGAACTGCATTAAGCATTTACAAGCTACGAGATTAGACAATCGATTTACTTGATAGAGAACGAGGTATATTTTCAGCTTGAAGTTTTATAAATTCAATTATGAAAATAAATTACAACCGTAAGCAAAATGCTTACCACTTATATTTATCCTTAAGTGTTGGGGATTTATATGATGATTTTGTCATAAGATACAGAACTTGCATAGGATGCAAATCAAATAGCGGAGGTTGTAATTCGGCTAATTCAATTGCTGTAATTCCAATAGCCCAAACATCGCATTCTACACCATAGCCACCTCGACGTTCCACACACGCTACTTCTGGTGCCATCCTGACAAGAAGGAGATATAACAAAATTTCTCAGAAATTAGGCAAAAGAAGCAAATAAGCTAATTCTTCTGCTTACCAATACGGAGTACCAATGAAGGACTTCCGTTTCCCAATAGTAGCGGTAATTTGTGCAGCAATACCAAAATCAGCTGGAAAAATAGATAAAATGAAGTTCAAGAAACTTTAATTTCCACAACTAAATGTTTCATAGGGACAAAAAAAGTGCTACTTACCAAGTTTCACATCACCAGAATGGGTAAGCAGTATGTTTGCTCCTTTTATGTCCCGATGTACCATACCTTTGGAATGAAGATAGTGAAGACCTTTCAGTGTTTCACGACAAACAAACGCTATTTGCAGCTCTGATAGAGGGCCAGTCACTAAAAGGAATTTTTACAATATCTCTCTATATGAATCTTCAATATTAACTCAATATATAGAAAGAAATTGTTCCTATTGTTCAGATTCATTTTTTTCAATATAGATATAGTTGCAGAAACGTTCAGATAGGTGTGCAGCATAAAATACAAAACAAGTATACATTGTCCTCGCTTGTACTGAGCGAAAATCTGCCCTCACTTCTCTCTATGGGAGGGTGTAAAAAGATTTGGCGATGATGTGCGCTCATCCCCAACCATTAAAATCAACTGCTTCAAAAATTCTAAAGTAAAGTAAAGTGAAAACATACTGTGATAAATGTCTTGAAGCGAGCCACCACTACAATACTCCATAACGATCCATAGTCGATCACGACGCAGATAACTGCCATGATATGCAATTATATTCGGATGCACGCAACCACGTATCATCAAAATTTCTTGTTGAATAACAGCAAAATTGTCACCAGCTTCCAATTTTACCACTTTCACTGCAGATAATTCGCCTGTCCTGCAAGATACTTTGGGAGTTGATCAGAGCCGATAATAATCAAAGAAAAAGCGTCATAGATATCATAATATCTCGATCTGATATCCAAAATATTCCCGAATTTGTAAATGTGAAAAGGGTTTAGAGTTATATATGAATGGCATAAGTGGTAACCTGATGTGTTTAGCCTTGTAAACCTCGCCGTACGTACCCGAACCCACTCGCTGCAATAACTCGTAGTCATCGGTTGGATCGGCTCGTTTGATAACATCCAAACTCATTGTCTGAAATTTAGTCGCATATTCTTATCTTATCTAATAGTGGACAAATATTAATAATTACTTCAAAATTAATAATTACATCAAAACTGAACTGATTTACTGCACAAACAAATCAAATGAAATCGAACCTATATCCTACCTATTGTTAAAACCGCCAAAAACTGGATATGCGAAGCGAAAGGAAATGCTGATAGATGCAGCAAAATGGAAACTCACAGATGTTCCTCAAAATGTTGAATGGCACCGCAAGCCATATTATTCTCTCCGTGTTATAAAACTAATGTTGCACACCTATAACATCTTGGAAATAAATTAGTCATTTAATCAAAAAGAAATAATTGTTACATTTGCTCGTCGATAACTATCAATTCTTACGAAATGAATTCAGACATTCCATTTCAGAAGGGTAAAGGAACAGATGCATAGGAATTCTTCATATACAATAATAACGATGTGTTCATAAACTGTTTGTCATTATTCTCTTTCACTGACAAATTCTGAAATACATCTTCACGTCGAATAATTGATCATCTACCCAAGTATAATTTTTCCTACAATTCTTCCACGACATATCGTCTCATCACTCCAAATGAGCATGAACTCCTGCTCGCATTAACTTAGTAAGGAGGAATTCGTGATACCGTCCAATTCACGGTAGTGCTTAGCTATAAATTTTAAATAATATATTCTGACTGCTGTAAATTCCTAGATGTCCTACATCAAGAAAATTTAAAATCGAAGACTCTCGCATATACCCGAAAATCCAACCATTATAACGAAGAGCTCCCTCTTTGACAATAGAAATTTGCATAGCGGTGCACAACACGCAATAACTTCATCCCAATGGATAAATTATCGGAAAGGATGGGAATGAAATCAACCCGGGTGTGGAAGATTGGATTTCATGTGAGCATCAAAATTAAGTGAAATGAGAACTCAAATAGATAACGATGTTTGATAGAGAGAATTAGATGTAAGAAATGTTTTATTGAATAGAAACAAACGAAAAGAAATGTATTAAAAACTGGAAATAGGAAACTTTAAATCAGAAAGCAAACCTAACGAGATGAAAAAGCAATTGAATCTTTCGAATTTCAATCTATCTTTCCTAGTCGCTGAATGAGTTATATAGTAAAGCTATCGGAAGAAGAAAGACGGCCTACTACGAGATCAATATCTTCGAACTTAATGATAATAATGTGAACAATAAACATCAAGTTTAAAATTAAAATTAAAAGCTTCTTTATTCTGTCTATTTAAAGGTTTTTCACTGTAAAAAAATTGTATTATACTAAGCCCTAAAGTTATCTTCTCAGTATTACTGAAAAAAAAACCAACATTAATACTTCCAGAACTATTCCAGTCAGTTATCGATAATTATAACTAATTATTAGCGAGTGCAAAAAAAGGAAAAAGCAGTAATGAATGAATTAAGCATGTGACACTAACGACTATATGGGGAAATACTTACGTGATCAATAATTGTAAAAGGCATGCGAGCGGTGAGAGTAAAGAAAGAATACATTAATGCAAGCTTGGTTACGGTATTGTCGTAGTTGCAGAAGGCATGAAGAGGCCCATCATTAGCTGATCTGACATGATTAAACGGTAGGATAAAAGGCCTATTTATTCCAACAGTATACAATGTGCTGAAAAAAGACAATCATTGCATTGTTTCATGAAAAAAGGGAAAGAAAAGGGAGAGAAATGAGAACACTTTGAAGTAATCCGATATATCGGTGCCTCATCTTCCTTTCAATTCGCATTTCTTAATTCACTCCGATCTTCCTCTTCCTCCTTCCTCCTTCCTCCTTCCTCCTTTCTCCTTCCTCCTTCCTCCTTCCTCCTTCCTCCTTCCTCCTTCTCCTCCTTCTCCTCCCTCTCCTCCCCCTCCTCCTCCTTCACCTCCTTCACCTCCTCCTTCATTCCTAACAATGTCTATTCCTACCATTTCTATTTTGTTTATTTAAATGTTTACCAGTTTTGCAATAAACTAATTGAAATCAATTCAAAAGAAATAAAAAAGAATGCAAATTGAATTGTAATCAAATCCAACCTTATCATGACAGATTTATCGATGAAAAGATGAGAACTGTCACAAAGCAAGAAGGACAAGAAAGATAAAGAGCGAGGAATTTTGTAAAAATTTTGATGGAATTAGAGAAATCATTGCAATTGATAAATAAATAAATATTCGAAAAAAAAGGAGCTCAAAATACAAAAGTACCAGAGTTCAACATTTAGCTTTAGGCTCAGAAGATATCGTTAAACTAATTTTTCCAGCGTGCATACCAAAGGGAAATGAGGAGAAAAGAAAATCGCGGTAGCCGTGATCGGCGGGAATATGAATGAGATAAAATAAGCTTCAGAAATCGATGTAGAAATAGAAATCTCTCTTATCCATTGTTTTTGCGAAAAAAAGATATATGAAAATTGCTCAAAATGATATTTTTTTTTCACTAAGGAAATTTCTTCTTCCGGTCATTGTATCATTCATAAGAGAAAAGATGTATTGTACGTTAATTTCTTTGTTCGTATTTACTTTAATTTCAATTTCTCTTCTCTCTTACAGAATGAAAATGAATAGAAAAATGAAATATAAGCAAAGAAATTAACATACAGACAGACGTTTAAAACAAATGAAGCGATATTAAAATAAGTGTAGAAATCTTAAAAATGTTGTACTAAATTGAATTTATGATATTGTTTTCCGACTTCACAATGTGTTAGTTTTATCATTTGTTAATTTGAAATAGGGACTAAGTGAATTTCAAATATTCATTTGTTTTGAAACTTTCTAAATGCGATCATCATGAAATATGTTGTACAATTTTCACTTTCATTTATTTCAACTCTCTTCCATTTCCCTTTATTACGTACGTTTCAGTGGTGATATTGCATGCTAGTAGAATGAAAATATTAGCTTTTTCTATTTCTCCTAAAAACTGCTGCGATCTCGAAATCCACCAGGGTGTACAACCCATAGCTCTTTCTCTTTCTCTTTCTCTTTCTCTTCGTCGAAAATGCGGAAAAAGCAATTTTTGCCAAAGGAATAAGAAGAAATAAAAGATGCGGGATCTTCGTGGAATACGTATCGAGTGAATCAATACATTGCAGAGGAACGGGAAAGAGAGGAAGGGAGAGGAAAAGGAGGGAGAGAAAATTAAGGGCAACTGTTGTTCATATATTGCCAAAGATTGAGGAAACAATTTCTACAGCTCTTTCGTCACCTTTTTTTCACAGTCACTCTATTCAGAAAGTATGGTCCTTTCTTTTTCCTTTGCCCTGTAAATTTTAGGTATGTTTGAGTGAATGGTTACAGGTCCTAATGTTTAGCTTCATTCGATGGTTCATTTGCAAGATGAAAGGTCGGAGAGATAATGCATTATTTGCTTAATTGGTAGTATTCTTCCTGTAGCTATAATCTGAATGAATTAATGATGAGATGAGAGAACAGGGGAAAAGAGGAGAGGAGAGAATGGATAAATGAAATGATATGAATAGGCGCTTTTTCCGAACTCATCGTTTCCAATTGAAATGTTAATGCTATAATTTAACTTATAGCATTATTTTTTGTCGGTGATAAATTAAATTTTGTTAACATTAAATAGTATCTTTTCCATTTGTTATTCTTTTTCGTTTTTAATGTAATGAAAGATAATCTTTTAATTATTTTAATTATTCAAATAATTAAAAAAATAACATCACTGAGAGGATTTGAGCAAATGAATAAAATTGATTTTTCATATAATTCTCGAAGAATAATTTTATGATTGAAAAAAACACTGAGTGATTCATAGGGGCATCCAATGCTTCCAGTTTCTCTTCAACTATTTCGTCACATTTCATCGCTATACCATTATTAATTATAATCCAGCTAAAAACATTGATAAGAATTATGGTCATTAAATGTTTTCATTATTTGTTTATTTTTAAATTGGACTATAAAGTGCTAATGTTACTAGTGGGATATATAATTCATACACCTTCCAGCTTTTCTTCCAGTAAAAACGATTGAAGGCGTTTTGCTATTGAAGCATTTTTCACCACAATCACATAACATATGTATCCAGCCGAAGCAATCCTCTCTCTCTTTAAAATTACGCTTCCATTTTTTTTCACTTCTCTTACTCATTATTATTTTGCACAGATTTTCTATCATTGTTGGATTATTCTTAAATTCTAAAACGCGAAACTTTATTAGTTCGGAATTACTTCCTAGATTTTTTTTGTGATCTGTTGAAATTTTGGAAGATGATATGTAGTCTTATTTGGAAATCATTATAGTGGGTAGGATTTATAGTATTATAGAAGGTGATTGATTTCGGATAAGACCATTAAATCAATATCATTTCGTCCATTTATGAATAATTCCAGAAGAAAGTTTTTCACGATTAATATTTCAAGATAACAATTGTTAATAGCAGTGAAATTAACTAATTTTATTTTTAGTTGTATGAAAATATTTCCAGGATTAAAAAACCCAACTTAGGATACTTTATATATATATATATATATATATATATATATAGAATGCCGATCGTAAGTCGGACAACTGTCACAACAACTCGTACAACTGGTTTTCGAAGTTCAACAATTCCTGTTTGGGTTATTAAACTACTCACTGTTGTTAGTTTTCACTTTCAAATAGAATAATTTTCAAATTAATTTTTTCCTCCAATTTAAGACATCAATCAATTTGATATGAATCAGTATGCAAAAGAGAACGTTTTTTGTAAGGGGGAACAATAATGCAAATGACGACTTTAATCCAAAAGACTATTGAAATCGGCTGCGGATAAATTGGAGATTAATATTAAGCAATGTTTAATTCTATTGTTTTAATTTGCTAGAGTACTCTTCCACTTTATCCCACCTTTCCGAGTTTCGGAACTCTCTAAATCCATAGTTATTTTTTTCATTTTCGATTGTTACTATAATTCTTACAGAACTCGTCGTAATCAAAAAAGTCAGCAAATTAGCAAAAATTCCCCAAAATA